AGCCGTTCATGAATTGAAACAACAAGAATTAAAAAATACCATGGAAAGCAAGATCACCCATGGATTGCATCATCGACAGATAATTAAGGTGGCTGAAAAATTTCACAAGTGGTTGGAAAAAGCTAAGTTAAAAGATAAGATAAAGACAATTCATAATAGTAGCACAAGAACAAGAACATTTATTAAGTACCAGATCCATCGAAAGAAAAATCTACTACACTAAACAGGATTCTGGATGTAGATTGTCCGAAAACGCCCCAGAAACAGTCCAACACATAGTGGCAGGATGCAAGTAGGAACAATATATACTGAAAGACATAACCAAGTAACTGGTGTCGTTTGCAGGAACATCTACTCGGTATATGGACCCTCCCAAGACTAAATGGGAGATTCCTCAGAAAATTGTAGAGAATAATAAGGCGAAGATTCCTATGGAACTAACCTATCCAAACAGACAAAGAAATACTGGCCAATCTTCCAGATATCTTAAGAATCAGAAATCAACACTGTTGATTGATAGCAATACCAAGCGACAAGAACATCAGGAAAAATGAAAAAGTTAGAAGTTAGAGCAATATTAAAAGATTATGAGTTAAAGGAGGAACTAGAGAAGATATGGAAAGGGCCAAAGTAATCCCAGTGATAATATGAGCAGTTGGAAGTGCGGCTCCTAAACTAGAAAAATGGCTTCACCAGATTCTAGAAACAACATCAAAGATCTCTATCCAGAAGACCGCGCTATTAGGAAGAAAATACTGCACAGAACCCTCAATCTCCCAGGCTTCTGAGGACCTAGAGGACTGAGGGTAATCATAATCACCTACAGGAAATGAGAAAAAAATTTTTATATATATATATATCTATCAATATACGTATATTATATATATATATATATATATAAATACTCAGGATCAATGTAAATAAACGAAAGTCTTTTCATCTTATGTGCAAGAAGCTGATAAAATACCTCTTTTTATAAATTCATTTCCGTTAAGGAAGTACCCGATTTTAAATACCTTCACTCTACTACTCTACTCTAATACTCCACTCTAATACCAAATGGTCAGGCAAGAGATGATATTACAACTCGGATCACAGCAGCTAGAAATACGTTTTTCAGGTTGACGAAACATTTATGGAGCCATCGTGAAATTACCATTAAAACAAAAGTCCGCATCTATAGCCGTGATTCATTCGATCTTGCTATATGATTCTAAGACATGGCCAATGAGAGTAGAGGATATTAAGAAATTATCTGCCTTTGACCACTCTTGTCTAAGGTACATTTTATGGGTCCATCGGACTGAAATATCACACCACATCCACCTTCGTTTAAATACCACTTGCATTAATAACGTTACCATAGATCGTCGCTGGTTAGGGCACGTTCTCCGTTATCCACCACAGGAGTTGACACTATGATGGATGACCTGTGATTGTGGGCCAATCAAGACCTGGATTGATACGATCAGAAAAAATTTTGAACGTACAAGTGGACCAGCAATATATGGACTTAGACGATGGAAAAAGGAATGGCTACTATTACTACTAGCGATGGCGTCGGAACAGCTTGGAGATTACCTCTGTAGCCAGCGGAGCCAGCCTAATCAAAAATGGTGAGAGTTGTTAGAAGAAGAAAATCCTCCCTTCTGACTATTTCTCCATATTACTTCTCCAGCGTTTTTAATGCAATAAGGTAACTTTCATTGATATTGCATAATGGCAGTCTAATTTTCCCTTTAAGTTAACCAATAAATGCAGAATTTTTGTATGGGGTTTTCAGTTGGTTCACTATTATTTTAAATGAAGAAATTAATTACCCATTTATCAGGATTCATATAAAAATATCGGTGGTAATTGAGATATCTCTATCGTTTTCTAATTTGAATAAAATGTACTCGCAAACCAGAATAATTGCTCGAAACCTATCAAAATGAACAGCCCTCTAAACGCGCAATGAAGTATTAGCGGTATCAGCGTGAAACGTCAGAACGATTATGGACGTTGCAAGTCAAGCGATCAATGTCCACACCCTTTCTAAAATCGTGTGCATATCGCTTGCTTGTCGAAAGTCCGTCTTCCTCATTTCGTGTCCCAAGTGATTGTTAATCCTAGCAGAAATATTGGTTATATCACAGCGATGCCTCGGACAACTCGGGGCGAAATGGCGTAGCGATTGTCATATCTGACAAGGCCCATTCCGCTTCGAATGAGTAGAAACCGGTAAGCAACCGTATGGCCTATGCCCTCTTTAAGATTAAGTTCTGCAATATCCCGGTCACTAGTGTCTATGCTCCAGCTCTGTCGGCAAATGACCGGGATAGAAATAAGTTTTATGCGGAACTTCAATTGCTAACAAAGTCTCTACCGAAACATGACTTGGTCATAATCAGGGGAGACTGGAATGCACGCGTAAGATATAACGTTGCCATGACCTCTACAATTGGCAAATATGGTATCGAAGACCGGTGTGCCAATGGGGAACATCTCCTTCGTTATGCCGAAGAGCACGAACTTTTTGTTACTAATATTTGTTTCCGGCATCGTAGAAAACATCTAGATATGTGGAATTCCCCGGATAACCAACATTTCAACCAGATTGATTATATTTTAGTCAGTCACCGTTCGAGCCTAGATCCGCATAAATTGACAACTCACAAAAAACAGCATCCGCAAAGATCCTTAAACTAAAACTGACTCTCAAACTGAAAAATTCGTGGGGCAATAAGCGCATTTCAAATTGAATTATTGAAGCATCTCAGTGATACAAATATCAATGACTTTTCTGGAACGGCAAATGAATATACTGGTCCAAACTAAAGAAATATCTCCGAAAGTCAGCCACTTTCACGCTAGGGCATATTAGTAGGAAGTGTGCTAGTTGGGTATCAGAAGCAACTATCCAACTTTCTGAAAAAGCTGCCAGAGCGAATGTCAGGTGATCCTGACTACCAGGTATTTCGAAGATTTGCAACGAAAGCAGCACAGCGGGGCAGAAATCACTATTGGAGTGACATGGCCTTGAGAATGGAGATGGCAGCTCGATTAGGCGATAATAGGAAACTATTCCGCCTTCTTCATTAAGCAACTATGACTCTGGGAACGATTAGTGAAATGGTAAGGGACAGCAATGGCGTACCGATCAAAAGTATTAAGGACTACCTCATAAGATGGAAACAATACTTTGAGGCCAAACTTAACCGTGAAGCGCCATCTGTTGTTGCTTGACCTGATATAGCTGATACTTTTTTGCCGAAGCATACATTTGCAATTATAACAGAAGAAGAAATAATATCCGCGCTTAAGACCAATAAAATTCCAGGAGAAGACGGTTTTCGGGCTGAGCTTTTCAAATGTTGTCCATCGTCCTTCATAACGCGCCTGCAACAAATGTATCTCTAGTATGGAAAAAAAAGAAATATTACCAGATGATTGAAGCAAAGCAATTTTGCTTCCCAATTCTCAAGAAAGGTAATAGGAAATACTGCGACAATTATCGAGGAATCAGCCTACTAGACGTTTCAGTGAAAATTTTTGCTTCCCTGTTACTCAACAGACTTATGGAAGTACGGGACAGCAGAATGCGCCCTAATCAAGCTGTATTCAGACTGGGGCGCGGTTGTACTGACCAGATATTCATGTTAAGAAGGGTGTTGGAACATCGCTTCAGATATTTGCAATTCACTGTTCTGTGTTTCATCGATTTTGCGGCTGCTTTTCAATTAATAAAGCAGGGCTTTGTAGAAAGATGAAATGCGACGGTGTTCCAGAGAAGATCATTCGACTTATAAAAGCATTTTATGAGCGCACATCGGCGCAAGCCTATATATGGGGAGCTGATTCTTTCAAAATAACAACAGGTGTCCGTCAGGGCTGCGTCCTTCCCCTTACAATATTCAAATATGCGATAGACGGAATAATGGACACCGTTTGTCAGCACTCAACAGGTGTCCAAATCAGTCCAGAATATAGCATCACAGACCTGGAATAAGCTGATGATGTAGTCTTTTTTGCTGATAGTTATGATGAAATGCGAATAATGCTAAATGACGTGTCAACTGCAGCGAGAGTCGGACTTAGAATCAATATAAATAAAATGAAAGCCTTTTCGTTTTATATGCAAAAAGCTGAATGCCTCTAAAATGCCTCTTTTTGTAAATTCATTGTTGGTTGAGAAAGTGTTTGATTTTAAATGCCTTGGACAGGCAAAAAATGATATTAAAACTCGGACCACGGCAGTTAGAAATATATTTTTCCGGTTGACGCATCTATATAGCCGCGATTCATTCGATCTTGCTATATGGCTTTGAGACGTGGCCAATGAGAGTGGAGGATATCAAGAAGTTATATGCCTCTGACCACTCTTACGTAAGGTACATTCTACGGATCGGTCGAGCGGATAAAATATCACATGATCGCATACACCTTCGCTCAAATATCACTTGCATAAGTAATATTATCATAGAGGGTCGCCATAGCTGGTTAGCTCGTCCTCCGTCGTCCACCAGAGGAGTTGATGCATATTTCGTTATTTGCCAAACCGTATGATGGATGGGCGTCAAAAGCAAGGTGATCCAAGACCTGGATTGATACGGTCAGAAAAGATTTTGAACGTATAGGTGGACCAGCAATATATGGACTTGGACGATGGGAAAAATTAATATTGAGCTGCAAAATTCTTAATTTGTCTTAAAGGGGTAGTAGCTTTATTGTAAATTTTTTGTGTAATTCTTTTAAAATTGTTGATTGGCATGTGGCGTTTTTTTGCTGTGGAACAGGGAGAGATGGAATAGGTGGGGGAAGGGGGGAGGGGTGGGGGAGGATGTGTGTGGTCGGACTGCGAGCTGTGACATTGGTTCGGCCTCTAGAAATGAACTTTGTCATGTAAACTCAAATATCAAATCTCCGGCCCGCAAAAAATCTTTAATAGCTGATAGATCTAACCAGATTGAGCATCTAGAAAGCTTAATTAATTTTTTCCTTTAACTTTTTGCCTCTCAACTTCGCGATGCGGCACCATATCTGAGCTCAGTCGAAACAGATTCTTTTTTAAAATGATGGGAACAGGTTGCCATGGAATTCAATGGAAATTTATTTCACGCTAACAAAATTTAAAAAAAAAATTGCTGCACGAAAATTTGAAAAAAAAATTACGACTATATTATTCTGTGTCTTGATTGAGGGCTCGATTTCGATTTTAAGCAATAGTGTGCATGTGATGTGTGGTGGAAAGCATCAACGTCCCTCCTTTGCCATCATCCTTATATTCTAGCGAGGGTGAACGCTATAAGTAAGATTTCATCGGCTTGGCGAGGTCTTAGGATACACCTTAAGCTGCAGAGGTGGTAAATATCATTGGTTTGTCCTTTACCATTGTGTTCAATTGCACTGGGCATGTTTCGTATGATAGATAGATGATAGATACAGTCAGATAGATAATTCACGTAGTTTAAATCTAGAATTAATTCATTTTCTCTGTTTCAAAAATTAATTCGACTTATAATCTCCAAAGCTAATCTTTCTTTTTCTTGCGAATCTTTTGTTTTGATTCTTTCATTTATTTTTCGATTGTATCATTAATTTGAAATTATTTCCATATATTATTTTTGAATTATGTTATTATTTATAATATTTACATAATATTGAAATATTGGTCATTATTATTTATATAATAAGTCTTTTTAAGCGGAGAATTGCTGCAAAATGCCGCCACTAAATAATGTTATTCGAATATTTCAACGTGCTTCTTACCTGAAAATAACGAAGCGTTTTTCTAGCCATGAAGTATGTTTAGAAGCATCGTCCTTTTACCCCATAAGAATTTCAGTTGAATATTTGTCATTTTTCTCGTTATTTATAGTAATTGTAAAATTTTCTATTTGGCACATTCAAATATGGATTGAAATAAAGAAAGACCAATGTTTAATGAAAATGTAAAGCAAAAAATTGAATTGTTTAGTTAGAAAGCAGTTCTCGTGTCTTATGGTTTAATTTATTTACAGTTCAAAGATCCAGGGCCACCAGTCACCATGGATTCAATACCAGTTCCTTTTATGCCATACAAAACAGTACATCGCGAATTGCAAGCTAAATTCAATAAATGTTTAATTTTCGGCATCGTGTTTTATACGCTTTCGCTCTCTTTGGTAAATTTTTCATTTATTCTTGATAATAATGCTATTCTTCTTGCAAATCGACACCAATTTCCATCATGCTTTCATTTAAAGTTTTATATTTTATAACTATGGTAGTCTCAGAAGACTATCTTGAAGTGCTGACAAGAGGGAACATATGCTTTCAAAGGGTTAACAATCAACAATTAATGAAAGGGGTTTAAGGTGACGCTACTAATGAGTCATGGGAAAAAGTAGAGCAGGACTTATTGTGGTATTTTACATTATATAGGTTGGCAGATTTTTGAAGATATCAAAGGGTTGCAATGTAATAGGCCTTTAATAGGTAACATAATGGGTTCTTAGAGAATATTAATGGGTTGTAACAATAGGATTGTAACAATTAATAGGGCATTAGCAATGAGATTTGACAATATATTTGGTACCACTAGTGAGCGGGCCTGGTAAATTTAAAATAAGGGAGTTTAAATTTAAAATAAGGGAGTTGTAGAGAACACAGTTGGTTGAGAATCAAGGGAGTATAATGGTGTTAAAGGAGTTTAAACTTATGTTACTTATATGGTATGGCGAATTCTTTATGGAGCGCTATATGGACCAATGAAATTTCAGCATTTAAAGAATATAAATTCCCAATCATAATGGGACTGTTTTTAGGCCTGTAAGGTGGTTGTGCAGGATCCAGAAGGAAGTTTGGTAAGAAGGAAAAAAGGTTAAGAACATAGGACATTGGATGGGGTTCCAAAGATAAATAATGGGATTTCCTGGAGTTAAGATGGTCTTAGAGCGCTATTTAATAAAATCACAAATTTTTTCGAGAATGTAATAAATAAGGAGATAAGATTTTTTGGAAAGAAACTTGGAAGTTTTTATGAATTTTTGTTTTGTTTTAATGAAATATTTTCTAAAATCATTTTAGGCTTTCTATGACGGTGTTTTCATGGTCGAATCACTCCGTACTCCGTTAAGTTATAGATATCGTAACAAATCAAATAAGTAATTTTGTCTATTCTAGAATAAAATCAGTTAGTGGGCATTATTTATCTTGTGATTCTCCTGTGTTTATGTTGTATGAAGAAAGTTTTACTATAAAATAAAATTATTAGCAAATTGCTCCTAAATGGTCATTTTCATTAGAAAATTTATTAATGCTTTTCATTTTAATTCAAAAGATTTTAATGTAATTAGAAACGAAATTTGAATTACTTGATTATTGAAAAGTATATTTTTTTGGAAAAAAATGATATAACGAAGTAATTGTCTGATCGCAATCCGGATATTTAGTTTATAAAAAAAGGAAATTACCAAATTTTCACTTTATAGACCAAAAATTAGATAAAAATCATGATAGAAAAATAGGAATTTTTGTCTATATAGAATATATGTATATGGGAATGAATAATGAATTTTTATTCATATGCTGCGCAGTATTATCGGCCCGCGACTTTATGTATTTTTTCCACTGCAACATAATTTCATAATTCGTTGAAAATTATAAAAAATTCTACAAAGATCAACTGAAGAAAAATTCGGATAATGCTCATATTGTGAGAAAAGTCCTAACAAAGATGGAGATCTAACAAAATGCACCAGAAATTTCTGCTTAAAAAAAACGATTTATGAGTAGAAATAATGCTATTAATGATGATAATGTAGTGATATGAACATGGATTAATACACATTTTATATTATCTTTTGCTTCAGCGAAGAACATAAAAGAAATGCAAATATTACAAAGAAAAGGAAAAATGAGACCATAATTTTTTAAAAAATTACGAATTATCTATTTATATTTTTTGTTGTAGACAAAACAATTTGTAAACGTAGAACTTTATAAACTTTCTCTTTTATTATCGTACGAACACTTTAATACGTATTGCGCATTAATCAGCTTTTAAAAACTGCATTATGACACTGATGAGATAAGATTATTCGGTGGTTCAAGTTGTGATATCACTTGATCAATATACTAAAAAAAATTTTTTTAAGTTGCCAAATTTTCGCTCATAACTTTAGTTTTCAGTTTTTTACTTCTTTTAGCTACTTTACTTTTACTTTTTTTTACGTTTATTGTTATCTGTCCCTGATTAAATGTATATATGTGTTGTGGAAACAGTGCAATCTGGCGTCAAAATTGCTACTGGAACAAACCTTACATGGGCGAGATAAAATAATCTGGAATTGATAGGATACTACTATTATAGAAGACCTGATAAAAGGAGTTATGGAACGAATGAAGGAATGGCGAACGAATGGATAGAGAAAAGATCTACATTCACATTAACTGAAAAACAGCTAACAGCTCAACGTTTAAACATAAGAAAAAAGAAGTTGGAGATAGATCAACTCTGCACTATCCTCAAACCCAAAGCGTTCAAATCTCCAAAGCATAACCGTTGAGAGATGAAGCAGAAATCATAAATAAACTCTAATTTACCATTTAGAGCGACTATAGAAGTTGAGTGAAGCACCCACCGCTAGATAATATATTTAAAGAGGCAAATAGAGTCCTAGCAACAATTTCTTAGGACTATAACAAAAACTAGCTAGTGACTGAATTCGTGTACGCCACAGCAACACGCTGGAGTCATGAAGAGGGAGAGTGCTTTTATGTAAATGAAGTGGGATTAAAAATTTAAAGTTTGGAAGGAAAGAGAACTTCGCGCTTTGTTGATTCGGAGCAGCAACTTGATCGAAGAAAATTTCTTTAAGTTATCAATCAATAAATGCTGGGACATAACCATATCATCCTTGGAAAAAGAAGCTGGAAAACAAGATCTGAGTATAACGTAGAGACCTTAGACAGCTGAAATGTAGAAAGGTATGAAGATTACGAAGATTAAGAAGAATAGTGTCCGGACGCCAGAAAAATACAAGAGGTACACTCCACCAGAAGCCCTCCAGACTGCTCAAAGGATCACAGCATTGGTCAACACTCTAAGCAGATATACTGGAGATGCAGAGGCTAAAAAGATAAATGCCCTGTTCTTCAAGAGGCTATTTTCCTATTTTCAATTGCGCAACAACATGATAGTAGCCATCAATAGCAGTCTCTATACAATACTGGATGAATATATGCCAGAAAAAGAAGCTTCTTAATACCAACGCAAATAGGGGTATATAAGTCCTTAGAACAAGCCAGAGCAAGTCCTCAAAGCAGGAACCAGCTACCACCACAGTTGCAGGCATCCAACATCAGCTCAAAAATATGAAAAGTTGGACAGCATTTGGTCCGGACGTGATCCACACCTATTGACAGCCACATTACATGAGTGCTTAAGAACACAGAACCAGCTGCTTGTAGCATTTAGACTGGTTAACACAAAGAAGGATGGTAATGATCATGAAAGGCAAAAGGGAACAATACCGACTACTGGCCAACAACCTGCCCACCCATAATAAAGTCCTGTTACGCATCATAGCCACCAAGCCTCATGACCATATGAATCACCATATGAGCACAGTTTAAAAAGGCATTTGAACAATAAGAGAGGCTCCAAGCATCAGCTGTTCATAAATAACTCAAAATCCCCTCAGATTAATTTGTATACAACTTGCATTGACAATATGAAAGCCTATAACTCATTGTCCCACACATGGATCAGTGAATGTCTGGCTTTATATAAAGTCAACAGGATTTTAAATGTGATCATCGAGAACTCAATGGGACTGCGGAAAAGGACATTTCAACTCAATTCAAAATAGTTTGCACAAATGGATTATTCAAGTGCATCACATATCAAATTCAAAAGCGAAATCAGCCATTTTCTATACATGAATAATGTCAAGTTATATGCTAAAAGCGAATACGATACTCGCTCATTCAACACGAATCTACATCGAGGACATTAGGATGCCATTTAGACTGGAGAAATGTGGCCGCATGATAGTAAAAAGATGAAAAATAACTGATGAATGGATCTGCTCGACCTGCCGCTAGGATATGTAGCAGGTATACAGACTGGCTGTAAATACCTTATTATCCCACAGTCACACGGCAAACAAGATAAAGAGGGCAAGAAAGACTGCAACATCTAAGTGTCACCAAAAGAATGTCCTGAAGAGTCAGTTCAGTGTGAAGAACATCATCCATGCCATAAATATGTACATCCTCCCAATGATCAGGTATGCAGCTGGCATAATAAGGTAAACATGGAGACTATAGATATATAAACCTGGAAACTTCTTATAATACACTGAAATTTCTATTGAAAATCTAATATTCAAAGATCAAATAACAGTCGGAAAGGATGTGGGGCTTGCTGAGAATAAAAACCACTGTCTTGAATGTAATGCGAAGCATTCAGGAATATATCTGCAAGATGGTACCAAAAGATGAGCTCCTGAGAGAATATCTGCATCTTTAGATACTGGAGAAAGACTAAGCAGAGAAGTACTCATGGGAAAGCAAGACGTGGATGCAGAACCCTCCAGCTATTAAGAAATCCTACCAGTGGTTTGAAAAAGCTGGATTAAAAGACAACAATGATTATAGCAGTACAAGAGCACGTATTAAGCACCGAAACAGGGATCTACCACACTAAAAAAGATTCTAGATGCAGACTATACACCCCAAAAAAACAGTCCAATGCTCAGTGGCAAAATGTAAAATGAAAGGAAAAATAACATAAAATGAAAGGAATAGCCAAGTAGCTGGTATCATTTACAGGAAATCTGTTCAGTATATGGCTTAAAACCTCCCAAAACTAGATGGGGGGATTCCTTAAAAAACTGTTGAGAATAATGGCAAAGATACAGTGGGACTTCTCCAACAGATAAATAAGTAGTAGTCAAAATCAATCAGAAGATAAGATAGTGATAGGAAAGGTTAGAAAGAAGGAATAGATGGGAGTTACCAAGGATTAAAAGAGAAGCTAGAAAAAAAGCGGAAAGTGAAGGCCAAAGTAATTCCAGCGATAAATGAAGTGCTTGGACCATTAAACTAGAAAAGTGTCTTCAGTAGATTCCAAAAACAATTCAGAAATCTCTATCAAGAATAGCTGCTAGGAACAGCTGAGATACTGAATAGAACCCTCAATGTCCCAGGACTCTGGTAGAGGATCCGAGCTTGAGGATGGCAGGTTACCGCCCGCTCACAGGAGTGAGATTTTTTTTATAGGGAATAAAACAGACAGAATAAAGTAAAATAAACTAAAAAATACTTACGCCTAAAGGACCATGCAATTGCATTTCAATCCAACATGGAGTTGAAGTCACATCTTGTCGATGGTAATCAGGACCCCACCCTTTCACAAATGATATCCTAATAAAGCACATATTCGTCAGTTCATAAACATTTTTATAACCTTCACGTTCTGCTCTTTTTAGCATCTGAAAATGTTCAATCAGGTTTGAACGTCTCAAAACTTTCCGGCAAGCGGAACACATAATTAAACATTTTATTCAATAAACTTACAACCACTATCTAAATTTGTAATCTCTTAACCATTCCTTGTTAGGCAAAATAAAATAAGAAAAAATCCACTAACCTGAATAAACAACTGATGATGGAATATATACATTGCATGACCAGGTGGTATCCTACAAACAGCATTCAAAGGCAAATTTAGTTTGTAATTACTATTCACCGACTGAACAAAAATTGGTGAATCGGAAAGATTGGTCACATAAACATCATGTGACGATTCACATGTGAATTTAACGCCTGAAAACAGTCGTTAAATTGGAATTAGGAAAACTCATAGTTTCTTATATAAGAATTCTGCTCAAATTTCTTCATTTTTTCATTCACAGTAAAATTACAATTTACGAGAATATTTCTAAAATTTTAAAAATTCGTTTACCTCGACCAATATGTTTTCGTGTATTTTCTATAGTAGAATTTCGATTAACATTTGTCAAAAGCCCTAAACAAATTCGATCATCCGAATTCGATGGATCGGTGAAACCGTCAACAATGACCATAGAATTTCTTACCTTAACGGTTGATAAGGTGAATTACATTAAATGATTCGGAAATTTTTCGAATGACCAACCTTAAATATTTCACCAACCCTTGAATTCAACTCGTAATAACCAAGACAGCACCAGAAATCCGGTTCAGCAAAACCAAAATTTGGCTCCATTTCTGACGATATTGCATCACAACCATCTTCGCTGAACAAAGAAGGACTTGCTGAAACGATAATTTTTACTTTCTTCTAATTTTTTAAAAGAAGTTATAAAAACTTTTAGAATTATTTAGAAGTTATCATTTATTTATTTATTATTGTATTGTACAATTTTTTCTTAATTTTTTCAGACTGTATTCTTGCTACCAGTAACTGATATTTTTCTTCGAACAGCTTGCACCATTATTGGTTAAAGTGTAATCAGTACAAGAATAATCACAAACTACAAGAATTTTAAGTGGATTACAAAAGCAATAACTTACTACTAGAAAAACAATGGGGTGAGGAATCGATGTACGGTTGATAATCAGCTGATGAAACAGGCATCATCTGATTCATATCACTATTTTGCGAAGTTCCATAGTGCAGTAATTTTTTCTGTAATCAAATGAATTAATTTAAAAAATTCAATGATTTTTTAAACGAATTTTCTTCAAATTTAGACCATTTTTTTTAAACAGCACTCACCATTGCTGGTTATGCTCGCTGCGCTGGCTTATCAGATCAAACTAGACAAATATGCCAAGAAATCCCTTGGCGACAGAATATAGGTGAGTCACCAGCATTGCCCAAAATTTAGGTAATAATATTTCAGTACTAGAATTATTATAAAAAAATATTCAATTCAATTATTTTCTGACCATATATTGAGAATTTGCAATGTGAGGCGGTAGATTATTCGACACCGAATATTGCACTGCTTGTGGCAGAACTGGTGGTACTGTCTGAAATATACAATGCATAGAGCGATAATTTCTAATTCATATCTAATTCACATCTAATAACTATCGAACATTTTTTTATTTGAAAAACTCGAAAATTATAAAATTATAAAAATTTAAAAATAAAGAAAGAAATTTAAATACTTTAACATACCAGAGGCTCAATCCGCTGATAATGGTAAGGATTTATGCATATCATTTGATGTTTATTATCGTAAGGATAGAGACATTCTGGAACAGGTTTCAGCTCATGATGAGACTGTAGGTCAGGCCATCGCCACACTCTACAGTAGATTACATGAGGTAGACCTTTGCGATGTGATACCTGAGCAACATTATTAGAATGATAATTGAATTTAAGGCATCTAATATCATTTATCTAATAGAATATAAAAAGAATATATAATAGAATATATTGTACATTAATCTGGGAAAATTTGCGAAATATTTAAATTTTAACATATTTAATTGTTAAAGATAAAGATTTTAAATACTTTTTTTTGAATTGTTTAAAAGAATAAATTTAAAATCCAAATCGAATTCTCAATTTTACAATGTTCTGTAAACAAATTTTCAAAAACATCGAAAATACAGTGAACTGATGGGATTAAGAAATAACTGAAGAATGAAAAAATGAGAATTTTTATAGATATCTGGAAAAAATATCAGAGCCAATCAGAGCAAAAAAAGAACAAATAAACATAAAAAAATATTGACAGCAAAAGTTTCAAAAAGAATTTACACTGTAGTTATCAAACTAATGCGAAAAAATAGAGAGAAGATTTTTAAGAATTTCAGAAAAAATCCACCTGAAGTCGGCCGTCAAGCGACCTAGGAATAGTCACACACTTGCTATGAGACCCGGGATTCGCCAAAGCATATTCCAGGTCTTCAACAGTCCCCTGACCTGGTTTTTTCTTTTTTAGCTTTTTCACAAGCGAATCGACAGCCTATAAAAACGATCGTTTACAAAAGTGAATTAAGAAAAAAATTTTCATTTGGTTTTCTAATATTATAATAAAATAATATTCTAATTTTTTTTAACCCAATTAGCCGTTTTATTAAACTTTTGAATATATTTCTTAGTTCCTTTTCACACAGCATTCACCATCACTGATTTATTGGTTTCACTGGCTAATAAGATGAAACATGTAGAAATATTATAGAGAGTCACTTACAAATAGAAATAGGTCCTCAGTACTCGGCATTATCAATGGTTATGTATTTTTCAAGAAATGGCTGGACAGAAGGGTCATTTGTCCGCCGATATATACTCATTAAAAGAGCAGTAAGCTCATTCGTCTCATCTCAGAGGTGAGATAAAATGGGTAACCTTTTCAGCCCACTTTTCTTCTTCATCGCCTTGTTTCCAACCCAAAAGTTTCTTAACAGCTGGACCATGGAATTGAAATAAATTGTTCATCATGATGCCGAACAATTCTATACCTACAAATCAAATATTTATCGAGTAATCTTAGTCCAAACAAAGAAAAAACTACGAAAACAAGAACAACAAAATCAACAACGCAAACGAACAAGCATAATCAATACAATACAAACATGTTTGATCTGATATTAATAAAAATTCCACGTCTTGAAACCTCGCAAACAATCTTTTAAAAATGCATAAAGATCCACTCATTAGACAAAAATCAATCGAGCCTACGGATAAATCGGTGCCTGCTTTTTATAAAATTTGCACTCACTCGAAATCACTTCTTTTTCAGTGATTTTCCTTTCTTCAAGTATATCCTTGGAAAAGATATTTTTTAATGAAATTTCGGATTATTCGTTTGTGAATCAACGAATTAAATCAAATGATATATCAATTAAAAATCGATGATTTTTGAAAAAACTGGCAAAAAGTTAAAAAAACAATAAACAACTGGCGGACTACTTCAGCTCTCTCTTTCGAAAATTTGATTGCCGATTTTTTTTAAAAAGCACTCATCGTTAGTGGTTAGACTCGCACCGCTGGCTTACCGTACTAGACAAATATGCCAGGCAATAGAAGCACAGGTGAGACACCAGCATCAAGCAAATTTTTGGACAAGTTACTCCTACGGAAAGTAGAGAGTAGTAGAGAGTAGCATCGCGATGCTTCGAACTGGGAAACAACCCACTGAGCTATTCTTGTTTTTCTCCATTAGGCGGCAGTGTCGCCTAATGGAGAGTGGTGCACCGGCGGACTGGAACCAATCCTCGATTCTCGATGGCAATTATCAGCCACTGATTGCCGACAATAGTGAAGCACAAGTCGTGATTTCAATTTTATAAAGTTAATTAATATGAAAGATTGTTAATTTTGGAATTGAAGCATTGAGAATGGTTCTATGGATAAATTAACATCTGAGCTGCAAAGAATTTTAAGTTGTCAAGTTTCGAACTGCTTTTTTTTCGAGTCCAAAACAATCTAAAATTTAAATAAAATGAAAGAAAGAAGGTGAAACAACCAAAGGAATTTAAAAAATCATTTCCTAAAGTTTTCTGGTCCAATTATCGTTTTAATCATCGTTTCTGTTCGATTCTTATGACGATGAATATGTAATATATTTCAACCTTACCTCGATAATTTTCAAGCATTTGTCCATTATAATCGACTAATTTACATAAATTTCCTTACTTTCTGATTATTCCATGTGAATTACTAAAAATAAATGGTTGTTTCACTCAAAAAATGATTTATTCATGAATAATTAGCATTATTACTGCCAAAATTTTTTAAAGAAATAGACCCAAGCCATGCAAAGAGGGAGAATTTGGATTCAAGATTGAACTTCAAAAAGACCCTAACTAATTGAATCTATCCAATCCATCGGAACCTTTCCAGTCATTGTCAACAATAGTTCTTAACTATTTACAAATCAGGAAATTTCGCAATTTTCTTATAAATACTTATTTTAAATAATTTTAAATAAATCTCCACGAAAATATGCTAAAGAAGACGAAAAATGATGAATAATAATAATAATATCTTTAATATCTTTAATAATAAAACGATGAATAATAATAATATCTTATGAATAATAATAATGAATAATATCTTTTTACCAACTAATGAAAAACTATAAAATAAAATTATAAAATAAAAATTAGGAACTTAATGCTTTCAAATTTCCTAAAACTATTTTCTATAACATACAAAAGAAAAACAAGACAGCCTTTTGAAGTAAAATCAACCTAATGATTTCTTTAAATTTTTTAGACTTTATAATTTTATTTTTTAAATTTTGTAATTTCATTAAATTGAAGAAATAAAAAGAATATAGAATAAAAAATTTTCGTTAAATGATGATTCTGCTCAATGAATTGTCCTTTTAAATTTTTTTGAAATATAAATTTATTGCAAAATGAATGAGAAAAAATATGAACTGATAAAACTGATAACATTATAACATTTTTGAATTATATCAACCGATAATAATTATAACTACCACCACCATTATTATTACAATTTGCAACACCACTATCACCATTATCATTATTTCCTTTTATCACGAACAGAACAAATAGCTAGAGTACCATTAATGATTAACCATTATCATAACATGGCGAATATCACCAATCGTTGCCAATTAGAAGAATGTGGGAAGGGAAAAAAAAACTTCAAAACGATATGCTTCTTCGCTATAGGCTTTTTCAACGTATTAGTATTTACATATAAAAAAACAAACGCTTTCGATGATATGGGAAAATATTAATGAGAAATCAAATGTGAAAAACGAAATTAAAATAAATTAATAATGCTGGGAAGTTTTCTACAAACTGATAACTACAAAGAAATAGATGATGAGCAATGATAAAATGATAAACCGACTTGAGATATTTGAGAATTGTTAACTGAAAAATAATTGACGGCTGTTGTTTTGTTAAAATGATTGGCTCAGACCAGATCAAGGTAATTGTGTTCTCATTTTCACCAGAAAAGATTTATAGTCAGAAGAAATTCATTTTGACGCAAACCGTCGTTATGGTTATTTCAACTGCTAAAAAAAACCAAATTCGTATAGCCGAACAAATCGTTCAAATCAAAAATTTCTGGAATTTATTCAGTAAATGGACCTTAGCTCTAGTATTACCGCTATTTTTATAAATCGTACACTACTATTATTCTTTAATAATTCCTAATGAAGCAAACTAAACATGAATCTTCTTTTTTGCGGTAAAAAGATAGCTACTGGATACTAAAGGCATTTTACATCAAAATTACAACACAACAATGCGAGTGGGGAAGAGGAAACGAAAAAAGAGCTCTGAGAAGAGATTTGCTGCGTGAATGCCCTTCGCCACAATAAGAAAAAATCCGGATAACCATTTTTCTTACTATTCGCCCCTAAGAACAATCACTAGCATATGTTTCCTATTCGATCAGTAGCGAATCTTTCGATAAATATTAAACAATCATTTCAAATCGTTTGGGCAACAATTTTCCCATTATAAGTGGTAAATGCGGAAGTAAAGAGACATAAATAAATAAGATTCAAATGCAAAATTCGAGGAGCTCAAAAGTAAAACTCATAATTTTTATGACCAAAATGAATGGATTATTATAAGCGGAAAAATGGATAAAATGACGAAAATAGGAGTATGCACTGCTGACGATATTTATGAATAAAAGGAAACGAAAAATAGAAAAAATAGAAATAAAAAAAGACTAATGCAAAAAAACCAACGCATACTACAATTCAAAATTCAAGGTTCATTGATAACCTTTAGCGATCATGGAGAAAAATCGAAAGTTGAAAGAAAAGTTAAGGTAAAACGTGCCTTTTTTTGAAAACAATAAATAAGATGGCACCACTGGTGGTTCCGAAGTATTGCTTAGATCACTATTTCAAGCCTCATGACTCCTGCATTTAGCATAGGATCTTCACGGATCTCTTGAGATCTATGATGACTCCCAGAGAAAACACCGGTATTTAGTTTGAACCGTATATTCTTAATTTATTTGAATAGTAATAAATCATTTTAATAACCATTTTACGTAATTAGTTATTCAAAACTTTTATGTGGGAACATTTAATAATCTAAATTTTAAAAACTTGGAAATGCTGTATTGAAATGCGGAACTATACCATATATTCTTACGGTGCCATTTATAAAACGTGTAAAAAAAAAGTCGATGAAGCCGTTTTTCTAGCAATCATAATAATAATGATAACCGTAATAAATATCATAAATGGCAGTGCTACAGGCCCACCTTTAGTAATACTGACTAATTGCACCAATGACCCTCTGATGAAACTTTCTCATTCTATTAACAGCAAAGTGAAGGATGTTACCAAAAATGGTGAGTGATAAAAGATAAAAGTACAATATGACTGACTAAAGAAATAAATATTACAATTGAAAATATTTGATAAAAAATTAAATATCCATTCACTGATAACAATAAATAATAAGAAAAACTAAATAAAGAATAATTCAAATAAATAAATAAAAATAAATAAAGATATAGAAATGAAAACTTTAAATTTTGAATCTTAAATTTTAAATCTTGAAAATTCTTGATAAAAATCACCGATGGGATGGCGATAATGGTTGAAATTAGCGATGATCGACGATTGATGCTCCGATAATCAAAAAATCGGATGCGCATTTGCGAAACAATGAGAGGAGAGAGAAATAAAACAAACTTTATGAGCAAATAATTTGCTTGATGACAACTCACTTTTAATGAATAAAATGCCAATTTTTGCAAAAAGAACACGTCGAAAATAATAAATTATTTAAAAAGAAATAATAATAAAAATAAAATAATGAAAAAGGAGAATCAGAAAAAAGGAAATGAATAAAGTATTTCATAGAAATAGCAAAAGAAATTATTATTGCGATTCATTCCTACTTAACGATACTTCCTTTTTTCCTGCTTCTAAGGATCAATTAATTAATCTTGCAAGAACGATGGAAATTCCTTTTTTTTGCAAAAACACTTGGCACTTTTCGTTCGTAAATAAATTGCAATGAATTGAACAATTATTGCGGAAAAATGAAAAAAAAATTAAGGAGATTTTACGTTATATTATTTTTATTATTATTTTACGTTATATTTAATAAAATTTTTGTGAATTAATAATTTTGATTTAAAAATTCAAGAAAACTCAAGAAATATCATTCTTATAAAAAATTATTCGTTTCAGAGAAACCATTTTAATTATCGCGCAGACTTAATTTACTTGTGGTTGATTAATTATTGCACCAAAATCAATTTCTCTTCTCTCTTATTTCTCTTAAAATAAGCACCAACTTACTAACGTAAGCATAAATGTAACAGCTATTCGAAAAAAAACCATGTCAATATCAAAGATACTCGATCGTTGGAAACTGAAAATCACTGTAATTTTTATTCTAAGAAAAAGAAGGAAGAAATTATATAAAATAACGGAACTTAATAAAGCTAATGAAATCGTTTTCCGAAATGCAAGAACTAATTTGCCAGATAAACACAAAAAATAATTTCACTAAACCGAATTTTATAACTAACCTTGAAAAACAAAATTATCACCCAATTTGACCAAATAAAATGAAATAATTTACCCTCGAATAAGGTTTACATAAATTCGATATTTCGATCGCAAATGCTAGAAACCAAGTGATTAATCGTTTATCAGTCCATCAATCAACTTTAAGCCAATTATAAAATAATCCATAAAGAAGGCTTAATGATAAAGAAGGCTTAATGAAAAAACAGAATAACAAACAAAAATTCTGACCATTATTCTGACCATTTGTCGAAATTATTTTGGATAACTTTTGTTACAAAAATTAACATTAAATTAAAAATTTAATAAAAAGAAACAAATGAAATGGAAAAAAAAACCGAAATATATACCACATCTACCACAAAGAGAATAACAATTAAAAGTTGCTGTTGGCCTGTATCCGCACTCGAAACATGCATTAAGACCTGTAAAAATTAGCACTGATGGTATAATTCCACATCCGAAGGTCAAAAAAACGACTACATAAACCAATCTCCATCTCAAATATTTAATCCTATTCAAATATTTAATCAAATATTTAGCCGTAATCCTTTCAATGCCTCATCTCAGACACGGTCCACTAAAAAAAATTTTTTTTGAACATCATGGTGTTGTATGCGAATTGGTCACACTTACGATATAACTGATATTCTCAAGTTCTTGGTGCCACATCCTACAGATATTTTTGAAACTTTTGTAGTTTGTGGCTTTTATTATATTCGTTATATTTTGCTTTAAAGTATCAACAAATCCTATGTATTTTATACGTCTACTTCCCAGGAAAAGAACAAATTTTCACAAAAAAACAAAAATATTACAACATTATGGTTCGTTTATCAATTGTTTATAATTCTAAAATCGATTCACACCTTAACTTATCTAAATAAAGTAACTGATCGACAGCAACACCATAAAAGCAATTAAATAATAATTTATTGATGATTTATATTTCTGCTGAAAAAACAAAAGTCAAGAATATCGATGGCATGTCTGATGGTATTGTTACAAATAAAATCAAACAAGAACTTTTAACAAATTTTATACATAATTGCTTCCTACATATGGAAAACAAATATGAAAAAATAGTACTCATTGGTTAAATGGGCCAAGAAAAATCGATTATAGGGTTATCGAACTTCTTTTTTGACCTTTTTGACTTTTCTTCTTGCATCGTTTTAACTTACTCATTTGAATTTTCCGCCTTTGTCGATCTTTGCTTTCCTTTATAAAGTCGTCTCAATAACCTTAATTATTAATTATTCTATATGCTTTAGATGCTATAATTTTCTATGAATTTTTATAATCTCTATAAGTTTCTTAATTCTTCTGAGTAAGCGCAGTGCTGATATGGACCAGATAACCAAAAAAGTACCCAAACACCAGAAAAAATAATTAAATTTCAGATATCAAACCAAACAGCAAAAGAGCATTGTGGCTACCCATGTTAAGATAAAGGCTATTGTTGACGATCTTCGTTTTTTCCATGTAAATCAAAAAGTTTTGCGACCTGCAAGAAAATTAAAATGAAATACAGCCAAGCAAAAACGATTAATAAACTACATTCTTTTCATTTTCTACCATTGTTTTAATTCATATTCTTACATTTTTATGCCATTCACTCTTATAAATGAAAGTGTCTAAAGTGTATCTGACAGCAAACTGATATTATGCTCAACAAAAGTTAAGAAAATTCAAAAAAAAAGTTAAGAAAAAACCTCCTTGAGATTTTCATGATTCTCTCCATCGGCTATAAGTCGACGAGCAACATCGGGGCCAGTTCCATAAACATTAATGAGAATAATACCTACTATTTTCAGATTATCCATATAAAAAACAACCCCTCTCGGTTCATCACTTTCCTTAAAAATAGTACATTAACTAAAATTAAAAATAGATAAATTATTGTATCTCTAACTGATCGACAGAATGAATAAATATTTTGCAAAATGCACAAAGAAAATTTGTTCACAAATCATAGACAAAATTTCCAAACAGAAATAGAAATTGGAAATACTATGAAAAATAGGATCGTGGATCGCAGAAAAAGTTATAGAAAAAAATTGTCGTAAAAAAACTCTAAAACTTTATAATCTCTATAACTTTCATCTATTCCTTCACTAATGAGTAAGCGCAGCGCTAGTTTCTTTGTAAACTAATTTTTCAACAGTAAAGGAAAAAATAAAATGCAAATATAGCAATTATAAAAATAGAAAATTTTACCAAAGCCGAATCAGCAGCGAATACTGATACAGTTTGAAGAGATGGATCAACCCGTCCAAGTCCCATGAAAGTTAGATCTGGTGTGATGATCGACGAAAAAGCTGGTTGATGCCAATAAGGTTTGTTACCTACAACAAGGATGAAATAAAAGTTAAAAAAAATTTGGGAACAAAAGTTTAAAAATAAAATTAAAGAATAAAAATTAAAAATTAAATAAAAATAACTTTTTTAAAATTTTCATGAAATCCTGAAACTAAATCTGAATAAAGAGCTGTCGGTTGATTCCAGCTTATTGTCTGGAAAAATTTGACAAGCCATATCTATAGTAGCTTAACCAGTATTAGAAGAAATAAGTGATTATTTTCTTCTTTCACTTATTTTTTTTTTTATTCCCTTCTGGTAATAATATAGTACTAGAAATAATTAAGAATTATATCCAATTCAAAGACAAGCAATACCTTAGTTATTAATATCAATACATGTAAGCTTCTAAAATGCAAACGGGACTGCGACAGCAGAAACAACTTCTTTTTAAGATATGCAACAGGGCATAATGAGTACTAACTATTATTATTATTATTAAGATGGCTCTAAATATGGAAATAGTTGTTCGAATAGGAAATAACAGGAAATTATTCCACCTCCATAAAACAACCATAACACGAAAAACGGTTAATGAAATGTCAGCTCGAAGATTACCCTAGTGGAGTGGAGAGGATTCTTAAAGTTAATCATGATGCACTATTTGTCAATCTTAACATAGCTAAAACGCTCGTTGAATCATATGTTTGGCCGTCAACTAATCTCCGTCATTCGGAAGCTTAAGATCTCGGAGAAGAAAGACTTTAAGTTGATATCTTCAAATATTGTCCACCATCTTTCACATCTCTCCTTTAATTCTTTTGAAGAAAGAATTAATACAAGATGACTGGAGCAAAGCAGTGATGAGAAAACGCTCGTTGAATCATATATTTGGCCGTCAACTAATCTCCGTCATTCGGAAGCTTAAGATCTCTGAGAAGAAAGACTTTAAGTTGATATCTTCAAATATTGTCCACCATCTTTCACATCTCTCCTTTAATTCTTGTGACAACCACGGAAAAATTAGCTTATTAGATATCTCTGGAAAAATTTTCTTCTCTTTTCTACTAAATTCAAGGCAGTAATAGAATTATGTGCCCTGATCAGATCAGATCAGGGCAAGGTGAATAAACATTCGTAAAAAGTACTGGAACATCGCTTCAAATATTGGTACGTCATTACTTGCTTTAATGATTTTGCCATTGCCTTCAATTGATAAAGCGGTACCCCAATTGATAAAGAGGGTGATGGAATATGACGATGAAGATCATTCGACTCGAAGAACGGCATTTTGCCCGCATTTTTTAAAAATTAGTATAGATGTGTGAATAAGAAACTAATAGGCCCTCTTGAAAAAGGAAATGGCATCCGTCATGACTGTCCTTTCCTCCAACAATATTCAGTTGTACGAAAAACTCGATTATGGACACTGCTTGTCAAACACTCAAAAAACAATCAGTCCAGAGCACAGTATCACAAATCTTAAATATGTTTTAATTTTTTTTGATCATCATTATGAAGAGAATTAGATGGCTGCATTGAGCTCTGAATCAAATAAGGCGAAAGCCTTTAGTTACAAATACTAATAAAAAAACCTATTTTGTCAATTTATCATGGGAAACCAGACTTTAATATCTTGGTCCCACTCTTACACCAAATAGTTCAGCGAAAGACGAAATCACCCAGAATCCAGAAAAACCAAACCCAAATAACCACAGCTAGAAATAAGCCCTTTTTCTGAAGATGGAAACCGCGAAATCAAAAAGAACTCGCATCTGCCTGGATGATCCCTTTGTTATAACGTAAGTGCGAAGCATAACCAATGAAAATGAAATATATTAAGAAGCTATTTGTCCTTGACCTCGTAAATCTAATGCAAATTTTACATTTTCGCTGAGCAGTACATTACCTTCGCTCCAATAGCAGTTGCGCCGATAACATTGTTGGACAGCGTCGCCAATATTGGAAAGATTCTTCACTGTCTAACGAATGATGCATATCTTGATACTTGGCCCTGCGATGGATAGTGTTAAAAGTGAGGAATATCAATACTAGAAGATTTTGTATATATAGGTGGCATAAAAGACCCAGCGACACATGGGTTGACGGTGAAAGAAGGAGTGGCTTCTATTTCAGGTTTAAAATCTAAAGGCATGGAAACCCCCTTGCAACTAGCAAAGCTAACCTAATAGGTTAGATGACATAAAATATTAAAAAATTACCTCCAGTCATATTAAAGCCAGCAAGTCGCCCAGTCGCTTCAGAATTACTTTGATGCTCCAGACGCCTTCTTCCATGTTTTATATCATAGAAGCTGCTTGCATCACCAGCTACCCAAATATCAGAACGAGCACGAAGTTCTGCGTCAACAATGAAACCATCGTTATTCTACAAGCAATTCGTTATTCTAAAAATTATTTATAAAAATTTCTGATATGGAGCAATAAATTCACAAAGTTACTAAAGAAAGAAGAAATTTTGAAGAAATTAAAAAATTAAATGAAAAAGCTAAAAAAAGCTAAAATCTTAGATTAAAAGTGAAAAAATGAAAAAAAATAATTCAAAAAACTTTATCAATTTCCAATCCAGAAGATGCGGCTAATTCTGTATTAGGAACAATCCCAACTGCAGCAACGACGAAGTCCGTTTTGATAACCTCTACAAGTTCAATATAAATTCCCCTAATTATAACCATTTATGAAGATTTTAATGTTGTCAAAATTCAACAACTAAAAAATTAATAAATTCATTAACTTTAGAAAAATTTTTACCGAATCACGAAATTCACTATATAACAAAAAACTAACCACCAGATGAAAGATGCAACATCAAACATCCATAACCATCATCCTTCGATATTTGGACGATATTCTGTCCAGTAATAACTCTAATACCATTATTTTGGAGCTTCATTGTTGTATATTGACTTAAATGATCAGGAAAGATTTTGCGTAAATTCCCATTTTCAGGAAATACCTAAAATGTCTTTTTACAATGGACATAAAAGAAAATAAAAAATAATAAAAGCAAATGAAACCAAAACAGTAAAAAATGAAAATATGAAAACTTAAAAAATTAAATTTGGTTGGAAAAAAACATTCAAAAAAAACATTCAAAAACATTCAAAATCTAAAGAAAAAAAATCGACCAAGAAGAGAATTTCTTAGCATTCAGCCGTTTGTTTATAAAAACTGATATTCAGAACCAACATAAATACAATTAAATATAATATATACAGATTACAAGATAGCAAAAAATCATAAAAAATGTGTTAAAGGAAAGAAAAATATCGCTATATCAACTATTAGTTCATGAATAAATTAAAAATTCCACAAAAATTTTACCTGATTGACTATTAAACCTGTAGGTCCAAAGCGTGTATTTAATGCAATTGCAAGTTCTGTTCCTAGAAGTCCACTACCTATTATTGTTATTGATCGACATCCATCTGCAATTTTGTATAATTTTTTGAAATCATCCACCTGAAAAAATAATATATTATACGGAAACATTATACAAAATATATGGATATATGGAAACCTTATAGATATTTATATATATTTATATAAAAATAAAATACACTTACTACTCTAAAATACATGACCCTTTCCTTGATATCCTTTTTGCTTTGCTCGATCACAGCCAATTTTCTAGGGCTGCCACCTAGAAAATAAAAATTTAATTCAAAATACATTTTGAATTAAATTTTATAACTTTATAATTTTATAATTTTATAAATTTTAAATTTTATTTTCTGAAATATAATAATAAACATAAATGCCGACAGCTCCTCCAATTATGAGAATATAAAACGAAAAGTTTTCAAAGTAAAAGTAAAAACTGATAATTATAAGTTCACTTAAATAGATTAGAATTTCGCAGAAACCTGTTGCTATCAGGCATTTTTTGTATTTGATTGTGCGACCATCATCCAGATATGCTATATGCGCTTCAGGATCAAGTTTGGTCACTCGATGCCCCATAACTAATGATATGCCACCATGTTTCGTACCATTAATCTCATCAGGTGGTACGAAATAATTGGCATTTTCAAAAAATATATTTTTTGTACGGCCGCTAGCGGTTTTATATCGAAGAGTTTCGGAGGCCTGAAAAACAAAATAAAATAATTTTCACTATATGAATAAAGATCTTCCATTTCTCAGTGGAGTTAAAAAACAACAAACGTCATCAGCACCGCTCCACCAAAGATTTTTTGACAATGGAGTTCGATCATAAGGCAATTCTAGTTCATCACCAATCATTAAAACTTTTGCACAAGGATCCCGTCCTCTGATGGTTATTGCAGCATAATAAGAAGCAGCACCACCTCCAATTAATAAATAAGGTATTTCTTCCGGCAGTTTCTTGTAAAGCAGGCAAACCTTCTCATTTAATTCTTTTTTGACCTTCTAAAAGTAAAAAAAAGAAAAAGAAAGAAATAAGAAAAAAACTTTTTAAAAATACTAAAAACTTCTTTATAAAAGTCTGAAAAAAAACCAAATATGACCACCATTAATCAAAACAATCATAAATTAATTTTAAATCCATCTTTTTTCCTAATGACGGCTTCTTTATTTGTAAAATTATTAATTAATCGAAAAATAATCAGAAAAAATAAGTAAGACGAAATTTTTTCCCATTTCAAAAAATTTACGCAAATAATTGTGAGCTCTTGACTTCTCTTAATGAAGAACTTCATATATTTTGCAGAAAGATGAAAAAAATTTTTTTACATGAAAAGAAACACAAACCTCTCTTTTACTTGGAAAAATTATTTCTTTAATATTATTAATAACTGAGTGACCTTTAGTGGCAACGCTAGATTCAATAATAGGCAGTGCTTCATATTTTTTTTCCGCTTCGACGAAAAATGAAGCGCTGACCTTCTTATCATTATCTAATTTTTCCTTATAAATTTTTCTTTTACGATAATTATTTAAAGTATCACTAAAAGAAGTTTTAATCGATTCCAGAACGTTCAGGTCATCGTAAAGGCCCTGTAAGTAAATGATAAGTAAAAAATAAAAATTGTGAAATAAAATAAAGATTTAACGAAGAGCACATGAAAAAAAACCCCGAGAACGTAGCAAAATTTAGATGGCAATTAGCTATTAAAATAGCTGCGAATAAAAGAAATTCGCAAGCAAGCTTTGGCTCAAGATAATAAGGAACTTTTTTGCCTTCTGTTCGACAAAAAAATCAATTATCTGTGGCAATAAGAATGAATAGTTTTGAAAAATAAATATGAATTAAAATTAACAACTAACAAAACTAAATGAAGTAATAAAAAGAGCAAGCGCAATCGCTAAAAATAGGTCGATTTTATTTCTTAGTTGTTCACAGACCGCTTCATATAGTGTTTTATGACAATCAATTTTAGCAATAATCTGCAGTAATCGGTATTAATCGAATAAAAATAATAAAATAAATCAAATCGGAAAATAAACTGAAAAAGCCGCTAGTGGCCTTAATTATTACTACTATAAAGAAAAAATAACAAGATTTTGATCCGATAAGCTTCCTTGATTTGACTATGAAATTATGTAAAGAATAAAGCTCTCTAGAAATCCCCAGTTTCAGATCCATAAACATGCTTTCTTAAATAAAACTAAGCGGCGAAAAAAATTATGGATAAATTATCTTTAGCTTACCTTATTTTTAAACAATCGATGCCACAAAGGCTGAACAGGATCCATTGGAACAGGAACGTAAGGTTCTCTCTGGTTACTTGCTAAGCATCTTAGTACCGCAAAATGTGATGTGGATGCGAAAATCCCTCTTCGAGTAAGCAATAAACGAAAACCATTCAGCCGAAGTACCATTTCCTACAAGTAGTATACTAAGATAAAATGAAAGGATCCACAGCGTTCTTCCGTAATCGCTTATTGCTGATGGTGATACATATTACTGCATGGCCCAAAAAAAAAGAAATTTGATATCAATTGAACCTCAAGAACCAATTCTGGTTTGGCAAGCTATTAAGACTTTCGTCAGAATCATTTGAAGTATAGGTTGCCCAGCAGTTTCACTTACAGGTTTACTCTTGTTAAAAGACTGAAGTCGAAAAAATAATCTCATAACATTTATAACATTTTATTTGATTCAAATAATTGAAAACTGCACCCTCGTAATTTTACGATAATAAATTTTACGATTTTACGAATTAAAAATTTACTTTAAGAAAAAAAAAGAATTGAGATTCCTTAAATCAATCAAACTATCCAGGATTTTCTGCAAGTGATTTCCAATGATAACATTTGATCTGACCTAATCCCTGCTGACCCGAAAATTGACCTGAAATACTGGTTTAGCTTATCTATTAGAAGAGCAATCATTTAAAGAGAAATTGCGCAATATCTTCGCAAAATTTTTTTATTTTTATATTAGCTTCTTTTATATATTAATAATCTTCTTTATAATATATTAAAATTAAAATTATTACTTAATTTTATTTAAAATAGGGGATAGGATGGCTCAGTGGGTTGTTGCTCAAGTGGGAGCATCGATGTCGAGGTTCGACTCCCGCAAGAGTAAACCCGTCCGAAAATCCGGGTGATGCTGGCCACTCACCTATCGCCAAAAGACTCCCTGGCATATTGCCTGATGCGATAGCCAGCGGAGCGATTCTAACCGGTAATGGCGAAAACTCTTATAAAAATTTCGTGCAAAATAAGTTTTACTTAAAATAAGTGGAAAATGGAACAATTAAAAAGAACTGAAAACAAATAATTTAACAACAGAAACCGAGCGACACCTCAGAAACACGAAAACAAATAAAAAATTGAAAGTACCTTTTCAAAAATCCGAAATTCTTCCTATTTGTTTAGAAATATGGTCCGCGATGGTAGTTTTACGGCCCGCTAATGCTTAATTTTTATTTTGAGTTGAGAAGGTAATTTGATTGTACTTCGTACTTTGGCAGTTGAAATGTCGCTTTTTCAACCTGGTTAGTTCGGTTATTATACGTGAGGCCATACGATCAAACGTGAAGCTATGCACTGCCATATATATATATATATATATATATCTGGCTACATTGCTAAATGCGGAATTGAAAAACTTTTGGCAATATGTGTGGATTTTACGTGAAGCAAATTGGTAGCATAGAGAAGCGTGAGTCATGCCATGTTTGTGGGGCCAAAGGTTAAATCATGGATGCCCCCAATTAGACTTAGGGTTAGCCTGCAGTTAGGCTTGGGGTACTTTATGCGAGGTTGTGTCGCATTTGTGTGTGCAGATTTAGAAAGTCGATACATTATAGGACATGAGACTAGTTATGGTTGCTGGTGTTTAGAGAACATTTCAAGGAAAACTCTAGTGTTAGTGCTAAGAGGAAGTGCTTTGCCTGGCATCTTGTTTTGTCTCCAACTATTTTCGGTCCGTGAACTTTGGCAATGAACCTGTCAACAAAAGCAAAATTCAGGCGAAATCTCCTATCTCTCCTTTGCTAAATGATTCTACGGTGGAAGAACGTATCCTAGTGGTTGGTGCAGTCCGCCAAACCAAAAGTTGCCTGCACTCCTGGAAGAAATTAGAATAAATAATTTCGAAGCTGATCGAAGAATAAAAGTCAGGAGTAAAACGAAATGGTTGGAAATAAATTCCGCTACTTGAGTATTCAACATAAAATTGCTCGTCCTTTTGAGCCTTTGAAGCGGGCGAGAGAATCGAATGACTTAGTCTAAGGGAGTTGTTACTGCTTGTTTTTCCTGGATTTTCTCCACTCGGCGATATAGGTAGTAGGCACTACTTGATTTACGATGACAGTCTTCTCTCTTGTCGCACTCTCTTGTCGCACTGATAGTCTGACCTGTCAACCTGGCAACCATTCATTTAAAACTTGCGTAAATGGTAATTTGTCGCTAAAACCTTTCTCAGCACTGACAACATCCAGAAAAGTTAATCTTTTTATTTCGTTGGTCTTTATTTAATTTAATAATTGTTTTGTTTTTTTTTTTGCGCATTGGATTCTTAACAATTGGTAAACGTTGTAAAATAATTCATTATTTATGTTTAATTAGCCATTAAATGAAAGCAGAATGATTGTTTGTTGTATAAACATCGTAGATTCGGTTCTCGTTCCTTAAGCTGGAGGAAGTCTGCAGCTAAATCTCATTGGCATCGAGGCCCGACTTGGACTTTCTCTCTCTAAGTGCCTGTTTGCTGAAACGTTAATCCTAATAGCCAGCGGCCGGAAATGATCAGCCCTGTTAGAAGTGCTATTTGTGATTTATAGCTAATTATATTCTTTTCCTTATTTCTTGATTCTATTTTTTTTGCTTGTTTCATTTCGCTTTTTACTACTTGTTTTCTATATGATATTCGATTCAATTTATTATAATACGGCATTCCGTTCCAATAATTTTTTGACAACAATGGTGCATTGTTTCGATGAATTTAAAATTTAACTTAAATGTTTTTTAAATATGCGGTTAACGTTAATTTAACGAATTTGTGAGAAATATTAAGGATTTGTTTAAGGATTTTGTGGATAATTCTGTTTATCTCATACAATTACCAATATAATTTTTCGACCACTGAGAGAGATTTCGATCGTCATTTGTCGATTTGACAACACTTTACAGCACCTTTATTTTGATATTTTTAAAGTAATTTAAAGTATAAGTAGGAGCGTTATTATTATTGTAGTGAAGGTAGAGAAATAGGTGATAATAAATTTATTCTCAAATTCACATTATTATTTCAACTGAAGCGGTATTACATGTGGTGGTCAAAGCGTGTTTGCTTATTTCCTCTGCGTTTCCATTCACATCTTTCTTAGACTCTAAATTTTACAATCGGATACCGCGTTTGCAAAAATTACAGGTTCTTCTGCAATTTAGTTGTACATGTTTTCGCTTTTGCTCATTCTGGCTATGGCAATATTGCTCCAAATTTCTGCAGTCCACTTTGTCCTTACAATCTGAAAATAAAAAATTTATAATTTATTGGTAAAAAATATGTTAACGAGAGATGTTACGCGGTTAGAAATTTTTGCCAGCGAGTCATTTGGCGATAATGCAAGTAAAGCAAGTAAAGCGCCCGAATTTTTGGCTGACAGGCTTACTCCTGTCGGGTCAGATGGAGATGATTTTAGGTAAAATGCTTAATGCTTTCTTCTTCTTCTTCGCTAATGTATTGAGATTCCTATCTCAGGAATCGGATCGATTATCCGTCGTCGGAGAAAGTGTGGCAAGATTCTGTGCGGCTAGTCTGCAGTTTCAAACTTCCATTTATTTAAAAATCTTTGCTTGAGGAATACCTTCTTCATCGCCGACGCAAAGATAGTTTCTGCATTCTAAATATAATTTGCAACCACTGCAAGGAATAATGCCTTGTATATACGGTGGTTCCTTTCCAAGATTTGCACTGCAATGTGGCAATTTGCACTACAATCTGGTTAAAATTGATGCTTACTCAAATCACAGAAAAAGTTATACCGTGGGCTGTAGTGGCATACTACAACGATTTTATTTGCGTGCTTGTCTCCTTTGCATAGGGAATATCCACAGCCAACTTTAAAGCTCTTCGCCCATATCATCTTCAAAATCATCCTTTGTCAAGTTTTTCAAATACAAACACTTGCAACTTTTAGTAACTTTTAGTTTAAAGTATTTTATTATTATAATTTCTATCAATTTTTACTTATAATATTCCCTTTATTTTCTTACTTGGAAAAAATTTCGGGCTTTTTGGTATTCTTCTTGCGTAAAATTAACATTATTAAAGACAGTATTAGTGGTCAATTGCTTAGCTTCATACGACCACTTAAGCGCTGCTCTTTCCATATATTGTGCTGTAATTTTCTTTTAAACATATTTCCACTTTACGCTTTGAACGAGGAGAAATACGTGAAGGAAATGTTTCTCCTTCACTTTTATTCTTCCTTTCAATTCTCTTTCCTTTCTCTCATTTTTTTCTTTCATTCATTTTGCTTTTTTCCTACGAATGGATGAGCACGTTACGGCATCCAATGTATATCAAGTAAATAGGATTGAGAAAAATAAAAATTTTCGGGAAATTGCAAAATTTCGTTTTATTGCCTGGGTTGATTTTTCTCGGACTTTCGCGCTGATAAATGCTCTCGCCATTTTTGCCACTGAAGGAACCACTGCAAGTGTCCGCTTGTTTTTGTGCTATTTTTTCTAGACCGCAGCTCCATTTCTGAAAATACTACTGGCGATGAATACTGTTCCTTATATACTTCTATGTATTTTTGCGGTAAATCGCTTGAAAGACTGGTTAAATTTGGTTCGATGCAATAAATATGGTAATATTGAGCGATAATGGTGAGGGGTTTTTAAATGTGTTTACCATTTAATACTTACCATTTCTCTCAAATTGGCCGGACGAGGCAGATATCCGACACCTCCTTTCTTTATTTTATGTTCATTCATCCAACTTCTAAGGGTGTTGTGGCTATTAAGCGCTTCTTTTCGATCAGTGGTACTAATTTTCGAATTGGAACAAATCTCTCCATTGATTAATATTCCTTAAAAATTTCCACATATAAATATGGCTCGTTTTTTTTTACTCTTGAATATGAAATAAAAATTCAAAAAATAACCAAATTGGGCAGAAAAAAGAAATTGAAGTAGAAGGTAATAATACATAATGATGAATATTTTCCCGAATTTTTAGGCTTTATACGATGATTTATTTGAAACCATTCTTATAAAGAAATTTATACGTGCAAATTTGAATCAAAAAAGATTGTTGGCAATCGGATTTCTTGGAAAATGATCGTGTTTTTTTGCTTGAAAATTTACGAAATTCGTAATAAGGATTTGCTCAGCTGCAGTTTTTTTACTTTAGTAAATATTATCAAATACAACGAATATTATCAAATGCAAGAATGGTTATGACAAGCAGAAATAAATATTTTCCATTCATTCACCATATTCTAACAAAACATCTAAATTTTAATTTTTCGTTTAGTAGATATTACCAAATAATGCAGAAAGAAAAAGGCTATTGCGACTCCTGCTGCCGCTGCATCATTCATTCTCTAACAGAACTGCTTGACTCTGAGATTAACGACAGTCCTAGCATTCCAAACGAACTATTGATGGATGCTTGAAATGTGCACTGTGTGCTGTGTACCTAATGTATATAGGTATAACTGTGGTTATGCGTGAATTTTTTCACGTTAAAGAAAACTTTATTTTCTTGAGTTTGTCTAAAATTTTGTTTCGTGAATTTTCAAATTCATCCAGAGTAAAGATGTGAAGTGGCGCGGTGGTTTAACGATATATGGGCTTAGGCTCGGAAAAGGTGGCTTCAATTATGTTCAGGCATAATGTCAGATGAGAGAGTTTGAAAGCTTTTTTATCCTAATCACCTCTGATCTCAGCCAAGAAGCCAGCAATAATGCGAGGTTCCAATAATTTGAGCTCCACAGTATTGAAGAAAAGCACCTGTATTTGGCTTTTTTCGGCGTACGAATAAATCCTTCGTATGGAAATTTAAACATGCAAATTATTACCTTAAAAAATATTGGCTGTTGGCTTTTACGGAGATGATTTTTATTTTTTTTGATAGAAAACTTATAAACATTTATAGCGAAGAACTGTTCAGCTGTAATCTCTCGCTATTTCACTGAATATTTTGCGAAAATGCTTTCTCATTTTAATTCGTCAAAAGCAACAAATAATTTCAACTTTCACGAGCAATCCAGCTAAATTTTTATTTTATACGCTAAGAAGTGTTGGCTAAGAGGTTTTTTGAGTTCTGAGAATTCGGCATATTGAGAAATAAAGGAGAAATAATTTATGCTTTCCTGGCGATGACTATTTTCCGACGAAAAATTTGCAAACATCTCTAACGAAGATTTTTTTTGCGGCAGTTTTTCGCTATCTTAATGAACATTTTTCGGCAATTGAATTTTCATCGCACACCAACAATCTCCCAAAAATTGCTCATTCTTGTGATGTGAAGTAACGACGCATATCTCGCAAGCCTTTGCAGCTTATCACTAAATTTATCTCGAATACAGTCGCTCAGCTTCCGTGCTTTTGTTTAGCGTAAATCCTTTTATAATATAACGCACATGAAAACTATTTTTTACCTTTTTTATGGTTGTTGCCGCCAAGTTACGTATTTTACTGTGTTTCATTTGAGTTTGACTCGAGTGCAGGCGCTCTCATCTCTTTGACGATCTCTTCCCTCAGGAGGTGCATCTTCTAGCGCCCAACCTTTATTTCCATTTCCTGGCCCTAATTTCCTGAAATTTCCATTTCTTTCATTTTCTCCTGTTCAAATGCCATATATGATGCCATATTGTGGCTTTTTCTCAAATTTGAGCTCATAAAGTAAGCATCTCCCGAAAAATGCGTGTTTAGTTATTAATCTATTAGCTATTCGGGCGTGTTGAGTGATCTCCAAACAGAACGAACTGTCCGCAGACGCAAAATTGTGGCCTCTCTTGTGCGTAAGCATCCTTTCGATCTTAGTCTCCTATACAGATCCCTATGATTAAGCGATTTTCTTCACTGCAGATATCGTTAATTACACCGAATTGCTGTTCATTAGAAAAAATATACCAGTTTTTTGCTTTCTATGTCGACTATTACGATTTTTATTACCATTGCAAGAAATTTTTATTAAGGGTTATTCTTGAATTTTCTTTTTCAGCTTACTGTTTGTATTATTTACGGATTTTTTGGGAAAAGTTCATTTATCAGACAAATTCATTAAAGTTCGTTGTTCGTTCTCTATCGTTTAATTAGTTTTGAACGTTGATGTTTCCAAAACCACTCCACTCCTATTAGATTTGAAAACCAAAGCATTACTGCACTAATGAAAAAAACGCGTACACTGAGCTGTTGTGACAGGTTCCGCTTAGAATCCGCAGTCATCTTTATAGGCTTTTGTCCACATTGTTTTCGAAGTTTTTGAATTATCAATCTCCTTTTTTTTATTCATTTAGCAATAATCGTTGCAAAATAATTCGTTATTGCTATTATCATTATTATTATTGTTTCATGATATCCGAAAAAATCGCTGTCGCGCCGCTTGGTTCTCTTCTCTTAAAACTTAGACCATCGCAATCATCGCTGGGACTTTTTGATTTCATTGCCCATTTTAGGATTATTCTTTCTATATATTTTCCTTAATTTATTTGTTCCACCTTATCTGAAGCTGCATTTTACATTTGTTCTTTGCTTTTCCTTTTTTCTTTCCTTTCTTCCATTTTCATTTTTTTATTAGTGCAGATCGTGGCCGTACTACTTCCCTATTCCTTTCATGAAGTGAGGCGATCATAACTATAAAAATATCATTAATTTCGAATAATTTTGTTCATAAATCGAAAACATTGTTATGACTGGAAATTGAAATTATTTTTTTCTTTCTTCTTCTAGCAGATCATGTTTAGCATTCCTGATTTGGCATGCTACACTGAGACTAAAGTAAGACGTTTCTTTTGCTTGTTATCATTTCTGCAGACTGTTCAGTGTCATCTAAATTTATTTCTTCAAAACATGATGAAAATAGGAAGTAGAATTTCACAGGAAGTGCGACTGATCTTCATTCGCTATCTGCCGGAATTGTTCTTGGCAAATTGGCAAGATAAGGATCTAAATTAAATAAACTACAAGCGCTTATCGGACCCAGTTAGGTCCATAGGCACCGAAGCACCTGTGAAGGATCTTCAGCGATAAATGCATTATCATTCTCTCATATAACAGTTTCCAATAATACATTAAATTTATTCTCAACTCGCACATAACGCTTTTTTACTTACCTTCACAAAAATAAGTATCTCTATGTCAATGAACCACCATAAAATTATTAATCGTAGCACATATGCAATAAATTTAGTAAATATTAAATAGATAAAAACAAATTAAATAAGAAAAATATGTGGTAATAAAAAATGACATATATATCCGAATATTCTATAGTAGAATAGTAGAAGTGGTTAACAAATGCAGTATATATCAAGCATATATTGTCCGTATAATTGCTATTGTCCGTAGGTCTAAACCACGTCAGCGAGATAATGGCAAGAAGCGGATAAGGACAAAGGTTCAAGAATGAAATTACCATCATCATACATGGATGGCATCAAGTCATCAAAAGTGAATGAGAAGACATTAACTCGCTCATTCATCTAACACGAACTTAAATAGGGAAAAAGTTAGGTTTGATGTGGTAGAAGCTGGTCACATAGCAGGCATAGCTACAACTATATACTTCTTGGTGTTGTACTTAATACATATAAATGTTTTGTTGGCCTCTTATAGGCTTTCGTCGTATTGGTCCAATGCAATTATCGCTATATACCATCGGTCTATCGTCTCCATAGCTGTCAGCAAAAAGAACTGTCATCAACATTTTCAAGATCTGTGTTATGGTATGTTATCTGATATGCTATGATCTATAATTTTTCTAATTTTTGCTGACAATTGCAAAGAATTGCAACAAATGGCTATCAATAACAATAGAAAAATTTGATTTAAAACGTAGATAAGACGAAACTTTTTTCATCTTGTATATGAGATACCGATAAAATCGCTTTTTATATAAGTTCACCAACTATTGAAGAAATGTCAGGCTATTTAAAATTTCTCTTCTTTAATACCTCAAAGGCAAAAGGTGGAAATTCCGCTCAGATGGCTATAACCAAAGGGGCATTTTTCGTCTGGTGAAATTTTTTAATTCACCCCTATCTTGAGTACGCGCAACTTCTGTTATAAAGCTGCGAAACTTGGCGAATGAGAATGGAAGAAATCAAAATATCATATGAGCTATCCTCGACCAATCTTGCTTAAGGTACATCTACTTATATACCTGGCGGACAGAATCTTATATGGTTCTATCCACCATCGTTCGAATACCAGCTATATATATATATATCGTCATAAACCATCCATTGCGCTGGTTTGGCTACGTTCTTTGTCGTCTGCGACGTCTATCATATAAAATGACGCAGATTTCGCTACTCATTAAACCCTATGATGGAAGGCTTCAAAAATAAGGAGAGCCATTAAGGCTTGAACTGGTAAGGCCAGCGAGTTAGCTGAGCTGTCTGTGATAAAAAGTGACCAGCAAAATGGGGGCTTAGACAGTGGAAAAAGAAATGGTTATTTTCAGGAATAACACTAAATGAAATTGAGGCATGAAAATGTTTTTTCCTAAAACCTCACCAGGATGCGCCCTAATCAAATCGGGACGTGGTTGTGTTAACCAGATATTCATATTAAGAAGCGTATTGGAACATCTCTTCAAATATTTGCAACCCTTTATCACGTGTTTCATCGACTTTGTGGCTATCTTCGATTTAACTGATGGAACGGCGCTTTGGATTATGATGGCACGCGACGGTGTTCCAGAGAAGATTATTCGACTCTTAAAGGCTTTTTATGAGCCTTTGGCGCAGGTCTAGGTCTATGTATATGGGGAATCCTTTGAAATAAGAACTGATGTCCGTCAGGACTGCATCCTTTCCCTTACAGTATTCAACAATGCGATAGACTGAATAATGGACACCCTATCGCTGCTCAAGAGTTGTACAAATCAGTTCAGTCCAGAGCATCATGTCACAGGTCTTGAATACGCTGATGATTTAGTCCTTTTTATGACGGTTGTTATGAAATGCAAATAATGCAACGTGTCAGCAACTGCGGTGAGAATTTGGACCTAGAGTTAATATTAGAACGAAAGCCTTTTCGTCTTATATACAAGAAGCTGATAAAATGCCTCTTTTTATAAAATCCTTTGAGGAAATGCCCGATTTTAAATATTTTGGATCCACTTTAATACCGAATGTTTAGGCAAAGATGATAATATATAACAAAGGATGATTATAACAGTGAGAAATATGTTCTTCCGGTTAATGAAACATTTATGGTACCCTCGCGAAAACACCAAGAAAACAAAAGTCCGCGTCTACATAACCGCGATTCGTTCGATCGTTTGATTTTGCTATGTTGCTGAATGGCCACTGAAAGTATTATTTAGAAGTTATTTGCCTTTGACCACTTAAGTCCAAGATGCATTTTGCGAATATGCCGAGCTGAATTCTCACATGATTGCATTCACCTTTGCTCAAATACCACCATCCTTAACACCTTTGCTTGTTAGGGCACATTCTTCATCGCCCACCACAAGAGTTGACACATATTTCGTTACTCGCTAAACCCTGTGTTGGGTGGCATCAAAAGCGAGATGGTCCAATCAAGATTTAGATTAATGCGGTTAGGAAAGACGTATAGGGTGGACCAGCAAAATATGGACCTAGACGATGGCATCAGATCGCGCCGCTTGGAAGCATCTTACCCTTGTAACTACTGGAGCAAACCTAACCAGTAACGGTGGGAGCTGTTAGAAGAAGAAGAAAAGCAGCCCCAGTTAGTTGAGTAAGTGAGTCAAATCAGTTATGGTGCGAGCTGCAAAAAGAGAAAGTTAAAAAGAAAGGTAAATCGTTAATTTTTATGAATAGCCAAGAAAGATGTTTTTCATTAAGCAGATCTATTATTTTTAATAATTTAACAATTTCATTTAACAATTTTAATAATTTAATAATTTAACAATTTTAAATCATTGCATTTAATTATTAGCATTAAAACTACTTCCTGGTCCATGAAACTTTCATTACCTTATTATCAATCTGACGACCCTTTTATGCGAAAACCCTGACAAAAATCCTATCGTTCCACTTATTTCTTGTAGATATGGGGCTTTACGTGCCATAATGCAATGCTATTTTCCAATGTTTCCTAAACAACTTAAAATTTGCAGAAATTTCAATTTCAAAAATGTCGAAATAAATGACTCAACCAAAATTGCGCCAAAATTTAGTAAGCATTATGCATTTAACTTTCTTTAACTTTAACTTTCTCAAAATTGCAGTTCTTTTTTGATTATTTATTGAATTGATAATTCATTTGATTTCAAAAAGGAATTTTGAAAAAAGCAAATTGGGCTACGAAAGATTGAAGCCAAGGGGAAATTTGCCACAATGCGATTCAGTGTCAGAAATTTTTTATTGTTTTTAGCAACCTTCATAAATGGTTTTACACGTGCAAAATGTTGCCAAAAGTGGCCTCTAATTGATCACTGGGAAAAAATATTGGTTCGGCTTGAATTCTTTGTTATAAATAATAAAAATTTCTTTTTATTCGCTAGTAAAAAAAAAATTCTTCCGATTTTGAATCAATTTTGTTTCTTGAATAATATAAATGTTATCTGGCTGTGGATATATTTCTTTTAATTAATTAAATCAGTTTCGGATTAATAATATCAACACAGTAATAATATCAAAAATATCAGTATATCAGAGCGTCATCTATTCATCTATGTTCTTCGGGACCCGGCACTCACAAGAATTGATGTTCATTATTTGCCACGATTACGATAAATGATATCAGAAGCGGAAAACATGGCTCGATACAATCAGGAGAAACTATAAATCAAGAAGCTTCAGCCTCACAGAAAGCCTAACCGGCCGTGATTCTCAATGTTTAAGGGAAAACAGTCAGGTCGTCCTTCAAAAAAATCTTTTCATGATGCTCAAGAAGTTATCTTTCTATAGGTAATGGATGATTTACTATAGTACTATTACAACTAGTATGAAATGGTGATCGATATGACACGATTATTTACATTGTATGAAAAAGAAAGCAGAAATAAAACCGATACCTGCCTTCTTCAGTAACACCAACCTTTCTTCTTTAAATGAAGGATTCATAAAAATTTTCTGCTTTAATTGGCAGTACTGTCCAGTGAGGCGAGACGTTTAAACGTCTTTTTACAAGAGCCATTGCCGACCTCAGCAACTGCTCAGATTTCCCCTTAATTTGCAATAGATTCCCCAGGAATTGAACTCATACCATTTTTTAATTATTAATTAACAGAATTAATTTAATTAGCCATTTTTAACTTTTGAAGTTCTGATGCCTTTTTTCTTCAAAATAACTAGTTTGATACTCCCAAAAATTTTAAAAGATATCGGAAATGCTCCAAAGAGAAATCCACTGCAAATAGATATGGGCAAGTGAACATAAACTTTCGTGCAATATTTTGAAAATATTCAATCTTGAACCAATCTAAATAGTTTATTATAGATGGATTACGATTGTCAAGTGGTTTATTGCTTTAATATAGATGTAATTTATCCTGTCTCTTGAGTGGAACTTGGCCATTAAAAGTGATTGCAAATAATGCTTATATTTTCAATAAGTTTTTTGTGCCGAAAGCTAGCAATTTTCTTATTGTCGTTTTTGCTGTTTATTCAGCTTTTCTTTAAAAATTGTGAATTACGAATTTTATATTTTCAAAGCCTTGGAGGTACCTCAAATATCCTTATTCTTATCATTAAATGGCTGTATGGCGTAGAGCCTTCATCTCAACAGCTTAAGCCAAATAAGAGACATTCAATGAACGCTGCTCGAATAAGAAGAAAAAACTGAATTGGACATTCAATGAACGCTGCTCGAATAAAAAGAAAAAGCTGAATTGTTAAGTTATCGAAATCACTTGTATATTGAACATTACTTAAGAGAATGATGGATTAATTGCAAATATAAGAACATTTCATCTTTATAAATTTTCGTTATATTTCTTTTTAAGGCAAAAAATTTGCAAGGAATTTTGGTTAATAACTGTTATAAATATGGTAAATCCATTCAATCAACATTCAAAATACAAATGGTGAATTTCTGATATTTCGCTGCTTTCTGATGCGAAATAATTACCAAAAATCCTGCCGTTAAAAGTTTTTGGTGCTATAAAGCAAGATTCTGGACAGCTGATGATGTGGACGATGTGGATGAAACATATGCATGTGTCGACGTCATCAGGCTATCTAAGAAATTTGAATTTGCAAATCGGTTATTTAGTAATTTTTCCGCAAATCATTCACTCGATGGCAACATGGCTATTTGTACAAAATGCAAGCATTTCTTAAAGATAAGTGGAAATTATTTGGGAGAAATTTTTCAAAATAGATAATTTCAAATTGTTCTAAGTATGCTATATGTGATTACCATCATAATGCACTGCTTTTTCCATTATTTTTCCTTTTGTCTTGAATTATTTATTACAAATTTTTGATTTTTTTCATTATCCAAGCTTTCCATCATGAAAAGGCTGGTTTTTCGTGTTTGAATTTTTTCAAGGATAGGCTTTTTTCTTCACGATTAGCGTGCTTTGCGAATTTTTTTTAATGGAAATGCTATCTCTGTCTCTGTCGGCCGTTTTAGATCGGCCGGGTGGTGCACTGGAAAGAAAGAAAGATCCTTGAGTATATAACATGCAAAGGATTGTAAATTCAAATTCTTTTTCAGAGAATCATTGACTCATGTTCAGTGAAGATTTCCAACATATACAACGACCTCACCACCAAGCATATTTCGAAATTTCCAGATTTGCGATTCTGATTAGTCAGATTTACGAGGTGGGCCAATCAAGACTTGGACTGATACAATGAGAAAAGATGTTGAGCGTATAGGTGGACTAGCAATACATGGACTTAGATGATGGAAAAAGGAATGGCTCCTATTACCGTCGATGATGGCATCGGACCTCGCCGCATGGAAGCGTCTTATTCTTATAGCTTTTGAAGCGGCTTAACCGGTAATGGTGAGAGATGTTAAGAAGAAAAAGAAGATTACGAGACTATTTTTCTGTTATATTCTACTCATTTATTTGATTATAATAATAGCAAAGGTCACTCTATTAAAGAATTATTAAAGTTTGAAAGATATCACTGTTTGTGGAAGCTAGTGTATTTCAAAACTGCATTTGATTTAGAAATTAAAGTAGTCAAAATTGAATATTTTATCATGTATCATTCTTATAGAAAACTTTCACTTGCTTGCTGATTGGTTCTTCAATATCGTCACCAGGACCAACAGAAGAGGGAATTGTTGGATAAATTGATGATGTTTTTACACCAGCGATATGAAAAGGCGACTTAGTTGCTTCATCGATTATTGGTTTCGGCTTTTCCGTAGATAATACAAGATTAGGAGCACTTGGATCGTAACTCGCCAATTTGTTAAGAATTAAGCGAACAATATTACCTTAAATGAAATTATAGCCTTGGCCTTTTCCTGAGCCTGCATTAAATTTTTTCACGAAAAAATTATTTTTAACGGTTAACTATTTTGCAAACATCTATTCAAATTTTTCATTAAAACACTATTTCTCAACATATATCGAGAGAAAGCTACGGTCTTTAACTAATATTAATTGTTATTAACTTGAACCAGATAAATTTCATTGGTGATGTCTGGAACCTGCAACTTTTCAACGGTTAACTATTTTGAAAATATATCTGCTATCAAAATAAAGATTTGATAACACACATTGTGCAAAACCCGTCGGCTCATTAATTTAATCGTTGCATCTGATGTAATTGATAGAATGTTCTCTGGAAGATGAAGTAGAACAGTTTAAGAAAGATCATGCAACTCACGACGGCATTTTACCAGCATGCATCAGCACAAAATTATATAATGGGAATTCACATACTACAGGCTTGCGTTCTTTAACTATGCAATGGATTGAATTGTGGACAGCTCCTGTCGGCAATCAGAACGAATTCAAATCAGTTCAGAGCATAATATTGTAAATCTTGAATATATTGATGACACATGTTTTTTGCTGACAATTTTGAAGAGGATGCTAGACCACAAATTAACAAAAATCGAGCTTCGATCAATGTAAATAAGGCTTTTCGTTTTACTCAATAACAGATGTTGATAAAAAAACCTAATTCATTTGTTAACTAATATCATTATTTGATGAATTTTGAATATCTTGGTTCCATTCTTACGCCAAATCGCCAAGCTCCGAGTAGCAAACTTCCTCTGTTCTGGTAAAGCCTCTTTACCGGAAAATTACCATCGAAAGTTCGTATCTATTTAGATTAGAAGATTTGAACCACGTTGGCCTAAGGTGCTCGCTAAGTGGATAGAATCTCTTTCATAATGTTATTCAGTCGGGTTGATGGGTCATCCATTTTCGCCATTTACAACAACGCCACAGTATAACGTTGTTAAGACTATATTTAGCCGCATATAATAGGAATTAACACAGCTCTTGCTAATTTCTATGATATATAGTAATAATATATGAAAGCGAAGAAGGAAAAAGAACCAATCAAGACCTGGTCTGACACATGATGGACTTTGAACACACCAAGGATAGAAAAAAGAAGTGGCTTAAATTTCTCATATATGCTTTACTTTCAAATATGGAACGAGAGGCCCCGTTATAGCTAACGAAACCAGCCTAACTCGAGCCATTGGGAAAAGAAAAGAATTGATGAATAAACTAGATAAAGAACTCTTTTACTCGTTGCGATACTTCCAATCGTTGGAAATCCTTTCATAATATCTTGTTTAATTGGATCAGCAAGGGTGTCATACATTTGAAGCACTTCACTTCCAAAATTTTTCATGTTCATCAATATATTCACTAATCCACCATCTGCGAAAATTCCAATAAATTTACGAAGCACCTAAAGTAATGCGAGCTGTAAATATCTCATTTTAATAATTGCTATTATCAGTTTTTGAAAAAGCTTTACTGATCCTATTCGTTTGACATACATACATCTTCGACAAAATTACGACTTTCTGGTTGAAAATTTCCCAGTTTGGCATTTATCATGTCACGTATGCCGAGTACTTTTATAGCCAAATCACCGCTTTGTTCCTGAAATCACCTGCATCTACAATTTAAGCAATTAATATATCGTTTTATCAACAAAAAATTTTTTTATTTTCTAATATTCTTCAACAATATTTTGAAAAATATGAAATAAATAAGATGTTCGAAAGGATTCACCTTCACGTTATCGATAAAACTGTTATCAGTTAGAGAGAATTCCAACGAACCGTTATAGATTTTTTTTGCAATGTCAGTTAATTGCTCCTTTTCTTCAATTGATAAGCTGTTATAAAATTTTTTCAAATCCCTTGGTATGCTTTCTAAAATTCAATTTTTAATATTATCGTAGTGTAGCAATAATTCATTCAAATTCATCATTCAGATTCATCTACAAGTAACAAAAAATCATGGATTCATGAAAGAGAATGGCTTGCTACTTCAATTAATGATTCGGTGCCTTCCTCTTCTTGCGGATGTTCAATTGCTGTAAAAGTGAAGTGCTAAAGTGGAGAAATGCTAATCCATCTTAAATGACTCTCTGATAGAAAGGTAGCATCCTAATAATAGCTGTCAGAAGAAGAAGATCCATGGAACCGCTTTTTCTAATGTACTAATGGACGGAATGAGCTGCATAAATTTTAGAACTTACAGTTTATTGCTATTCTTCTTTAAGCAAATTCGGCTCTAAATTTTTTATTTTGCCGAATTACAGTTGAAACAACTAACCTATATCTCTTTCATTTGTCGCCACTTCATTCAATGGTTTCGTGGAAAAGCCAGTAAGAAAAATAAGTAAAACGAGAAACGATTTGTTGAATTTCATTAGATCTATAAATTTTTCCCTTAATTATCAATTTTTTACTGACCATAAATTAAAATGGATTGGGCACTCATGTATACTTCTATTTTGATCGTTTAGCTCTTATTTTTTATTTCCTGCTGCTGCAGTTCATTAACTAAGAAATTTGGAGAGGTTCCGGAGAATCGTTTGCAATTTTCGTATCCATTCTTTCATGGCATACTTACAGAAATTACTCAGAGCAAAAAATTTATTCGATAAAGGCAGTTTAAGAATTAACTGAGTTTTCACTGCACACCATTTCTCGGTAGGCTAACTCCACTGGCGCTGATAATTGACGATAAAGTTTTATCATTTCAAGGATCATTTCACGATGGAAATGTACGTGAGCTTCCAATTCCGCACGCATTTTTAATGACTCCTACCGTTTAAAAATTAAAATTATGCATAATTTATGCATGAAGCAGCCTTTCCACCGCTGCAAACGCCTTCGAAAAGCGATTGGCGAGGGCAGTCGTCAAGCAACAATTTTTGTTATTGCATGCACTACTGAGAAGTTTTGAGCAAATAAAAAAGTTATAAAATCTTTTGGCTTAGTTTTTATGTTTTCTGCGAAAAGGATTTCCGTTTTATTCTCAAAAAATTTACAATATTTATTGCAGTTAATACAGTCAAAGTTTTCACGAAGTAAGAGACGACGCACAAAAATTTTTTGCGAACTTTCGCCGATTCTTTTGCTGAATCTGCAAGAATAACGATTTCATTCTGATTATGGACTATCAAAAGTTTTGAAGAAGGAGATTTGTTTCCAATCAACTTTAAGTCTCGCGTGTGAGGCGGCGAGGTTTCAATAAGAAGGTCGCTCTTGCAAGCCTCTTTTCAGTTCTTTCGTACCATTCATCAATTAATCACAGCTAAACGTCGAGTCCAAGCTGCAGCATAAGTTTGAGGCTAACCTTAGGTCTAAAACTCCAGTCGGAGAGCACTGCCAGACCCTAAGCTTCCTAAAATTTACAGTGGAGCTTCTACTTATAATCATAAAAATTAATTAAACATAGCAGCTAAGAGTCAAATGAATTTTAGTTAAACGTATAAAATAAATAAAACCACGCTTCTGCAGTGAAACAACAACTGTTTTCATATTGTTAAGCGAATTATTTATGTAGGTAAGAAGAAATTACTGGAAGATTAATTTATAAAAACAAATATTTTCCTCTTTGATGCTCATTTTGCCGATGTTTTTTTAAAGTTCATAGCATTGTTGTCATCAATATAGCGGCAATTTGTGCACATAACAATAGCACATGCGAGAAAACTATATTGTAGCAGTAATGATAATCTGTTATCAGCTACTAGATTAGAAGGATGTTTCAACGATAATTCAAAAGAGTTCTTGGTCTCGAAACGAATCTTTAAAAACAGTAATTCCTCAAAGAGGATGTGTTATTGGAATTTGGAATTTGCATGATCAATTGGAGTGGGTGCTTGATGGTGGAAATGAGAGTGATGTTCGCTTATTTACATGTAGTGATGAGTATGGGAAAAAGTAGATTGACTTGAAGTTCCGGGATAAGATCAAGTAAGGAATAGCGACTGTTGGAATAGTTAAATTTTCTTCGTCTTCGAACAGCTCTTATTATTAGTGGTTAGGCTGGCTTCGCTGGCTGAAAGGGTGAGACGTCTCGAAGCCGCACATTCTGACGCTATCGCTAGGAGTGATAGAAGCCATTCTTTCTGCATCGTCTAAGTCCATGTATCGCTGGTCCTCCTGTACGCTCAAAAAGTTTCCTGACTGTATCAGTCCAGGTTTTGAGCGGCCCTCCTCGCCAACCATCACAGCCTTTAGCAAGTAACGAAATGTGAGTCATCTCTTGTGGTGGACGACGCTCTGTGATAATCCAAGTGGTATTTGAATATCATGCGATTTTATCCGCTGGACGGATCTGTAAAATTTATTTTAGACGGTCAAAGGTTAATAGCTTCCACTCTCATTGGCTATATTTCGTAGCCATATAGTATGATCGAGCGAATTATAGCTATATTGACGCTGATCTTCATGGTGATTTCGCGACCGTTCCATAGAGGTTTCATCAACCGGCAAAACATTTTTAGCTGTCGTTATCCGGGACACAGTTTCATTCCTTTGCTTGGCAATTTGGGATTAAAGTGGATCGAAGGTATTTAAAGTCGGGCATTTTTCCTCAACTGATAATGAATTAATCAAAATAGGTATTTTATCAGTTTCTTATATATGAAATGAAACTTTCGGTTTTTTACATTAATTCTAAGTCAAATTCTCACTGCTGTTAAACATTATTTAACATTATTTGCATTTCCTTATAACTACCAGCAAAAAGGACTACTACATCATCAGCATATTCAAGGCCTGTAAAACTATGCTCTGAAGTGCCGACAAGCCATACCCATTATCCAGTCTATCGCATAATTGAATATTGTTGGGGAAAGGTCTCTGACAGGCATCAGTTCTTATTTCGAAGGAGTATGTCAATTCCTCACATGCACAGACCTGTTTCATGATGATAAAATATCTTTATGAGCAGAATGATCTTCTCTAGAACCCCGTCGCATTCCATCATTTTCCAGGGCACTGCTCTATGAAGCGAATCGAAGGCAGCTACAAAATCGATAAAGTAAGTGACGGTGGATTGCTGGTATTTGAAGCGATGTTCCAGCACCCTTCTTAGCGTAAATATCTGGTCAGCACAATCGCGATCCGGTCTGAACCCAGCTTGGTTAGGACGCATTCTTTCTTATGTTGCCATGAGTCTATTTAGCGGAAAGGAAACGAAATTTTTTTTCCGGAGGTGTTCGGTAGGCTGGTTCTTCTGTGATTGTCGCAACACATCCTGTCATCTTTTTTAGGAATTGACAGCAGAATTGCTTTGCTCCATTCTTCTGGTATTATTTCCTTTTGCCATACCAGAGAATACATTTGTTTAAAGTGTGTTATAAACGAAGATGCACAGCATTTGAAGTGTTCAGCTCGAAGACCATCTTCTTCGGGAGTTTTATTGGATTACAGAGATTATTTCCTCTTCTGTTAGCGGTTCATAGTTCCAAATGTAAGGCTCGATGTGCGAATCAGTTATATTCGGGACAAGAGATGGCGCATCGTGGTTAAGTTTGGCTTAGAAAAATTCTTTCCATCTTATGAGGTGATCCTTAACAGCTTTAATAGGCACCCCATTAATATCCCGTATCATTTCATTGACTCCTTCTCGAAATATAGTTGGTTGCTTTGTGAAGAAGGCGAAACAATTCCCTATTATCACCTATCTCCATCCCCCGTCTCCATTCTCAACGCCATATTGCTCCGATAGCGATGCTGCTGTTGTTGTAATTCTTCGAAGCACTGTTAGTTAGGATCATGACATTCGGGCTTTGGCAGCTCTTCAGACAGTTGGACAGTTGCTTCCTTCATCAAACTAGCGTACTTCCTAACTAGTATGTCCTCGCGTGGAAATAGTGGTTAAGAAAAATTTTCGGAGATATTTCTTTATAATTGGGCCAGTATTCATTTGCCGTTCTAGAAAAATTATTGATATTTATACCACTGATATGCTTCAATAATTTGGTTTGAAACACGCTCATTATCCCCAAATTTTTTGTTTTTTATATTCTCTGTTTAAGTTTAAAGTTTATAGGGAATTAGGTGTCGTTCTAAATGTTTTTTAAATACTTAGATCTTTTGATTTGATTGGCCTCTGCCCAATGCTAGTGAGTGAATGGCTTTCTTAGCTTGAGGACTATAAGATAGCAAAATCATTTGTTTTTTTTAATGAATTCTGGTATGAATGGGGTTTTACGAATCTTGCCTCGAACCGTAGAATGATCTATCCATGGTGGTTACAGTTTCAGCACCCGATAAGAACGACTATCAAATACAGAACTCTTCCAGCGGTGACTGACCTATATGTGGCCAATGTGACTGGAGTATTGGTTGTCCGGAGAATTCCACGTAGATATTTCCCCCGATACATAAAGTATGTATTAGTAATAAACATTGGCAATCGCTACGCCATTTCCCCCCGAGTTATCTTAGGCACCACTGTGATATAGCCAATATCATTGCTCGGGACCAGGTTTAGTAATTACTCGGGAGCCGGCATGAGGAAGACGGGCCTCCGACAAACAAGCCACATCCACGCGGTATTTAGGGAGAGTGTGGATAGTGATCGCTTGGCTTGCAACATCCATAAGCGTTCTGACGTTCCAAGCAGCTATAACCAACATCTCACCGCGCTTACAAAGAGTTAACGGATAGGTTTTAGCGTCCATTGAGTACGGGTTTTGCTATGCTAGTGCCTTGGAATTTTATTATTATGATTATTACGTCCGGATCATATATTTATCGCATGAAGAAAAAAACTTATGCGATTCTTATGCGAAACTAATGCGTAAATAATGAATAATAAGTAATAAATTATAAAATAATGCAAATAATGCAATAATGCAATAATCTAAGCAAATGATGATGAAAATGAGTTAATTTAACTGATTAATGAGCAGAGGACATTTTCGACACAACAGCTCATGCAGCATACAGTTATCAACTTTTTACAGCAAAATTTTGGTGATAATGGAACTTTTTCCAAAAATTTCCTTCATTCTTTCCTTTTAGCGCATTGCCCACTAAATGCATTTTTTCTACACAATCCTTATTACAAATTCCTTACCACACTATCAAAATTCTGTCATATCTGCCTAATATCGTATCACATCTACGCCATAATCATGTAAATCATTTTAAAGTAACGTAGAGTATCATAAAAACTTTGAAAGAGGTTTGTAATTTGTTGTAGCGGAATTTTATATAAATCATAAAAAATTTTATAATTTTTAATTTTTTTTTTTAATTTAATTTTTTTTAATTTTTAATTTTATCTGCGACACTTATTTAACTGTAGTTGGGTATGAAATTTTAAGCTTAAATTTGGCATTCTATGAAATATGTCGATTCGAGGTATTTTAGAAGAGAAAAGAATAATTTTTCATTTTTTTTCAGAACCTGAATAATGGCATTTCGTAAAACTTTGAATCGTCGTCCCCGTCCACAACGTGCTACTAGCAATGTATTCGCGATGTTTGATCAAGCTCAGATTCAGGTATTTTTTCACAGTGAGAAATCTCAAATTTAAATCTCAAATTTATTATCGTTTTTCTAAAGTTTTATAAGGCAGTTTGATTTTTTCGCTTCTAAGCCGTCTTTGTTTGATCAATTCTATGAATTTTTATTTTGTGCAAAATTAATTTATAGGAGTTTAAAGAGGCGTTCAATATGATTGATCAAAATCGAGATGGATTCATTGATGTACAAGATCTTCAGGATATGTTTGCTTCTCTTGGTGCTTCTCTTATTTTTCGCTTTTAAAAAACCATTTTGTTCTGTTATTCAACTTTCTAAAAAAATGCTTTTTGCCTTTTGAAGTGATAGTTTTTTTATTTCTAATATTTAGGCAAAGAAGTGACCGAGGATTTCCTAGAAAAAATGGTTAACGAAGCACCTGGTCCAATCAATTTTACGATGTTTTTAACACTTTTCGGAGAAAAATTAACTGGCACAGATCCTGAAGAAGTAGTTTTTATTTGGATTAATTTAATAAAATGAACTTCATGAAAGTGGATCTGAGATATGTCCAGTTTTTAAATAGGGGAAAAGCCTTTAATTTCTTAGCGGCATATTAGATTGTTATTTTTTTGACGTTTTCTTTCTTTCTCTGTTTGATTTTTTATTAATATTTCAAGTTCATTAGCAAGGATTAGAATGAATCAAAATTGCAAAGGTCAGGTGCAGCAGAAATTGCATTTATAACTTTTTAGCGAAATTTTGTGAAAGTATAGTTCAAGAAAATAGCATTTGCATTTTTAGGGGAAAAAGTGGGAAACATATTGTGAAACATTCTTGCAGTGAAGCTTCTTTCATGATCTTTGCTTAATCCGATTTCCGATTTTCTCCAAATCTAAATCATCTAAAACTTTATCTTTTGATCACTTTCAGAATTACTTCTTTTTTCCATCAAAGTAGCGCAAATATCGAACTCTATTCAAGTAATAATTATAAAATCAATATGATCGGTATTCCTTGGGCTTATTATAAATCAATTCAAGATTGAAATAAATTACTTGTTTAGCTTTGAAGTGAATTTCATAAGTATGGGTATTTCGTATGCGTTTAGTGGTATACGCCAATTGTCAGTTAAAGTTACCCAAATCTGCCAGTTCAACCAAAAAAGTAGTTTTATGACGTGGCTTAGGTTTTATGAGGTGAAGTGCATTTAAACGTTTTCATCATTGTTGACCAAAGTAAGGCTTGGTGTTGAAAAATAACGAATTAGATTTAATATCGGAATTTGTCTTCGGAAAAGAAGAGGCTTATTCTATCTGCATGGAATACATATTCCTTATAAACAGCTTTGCTACTGAGTATAATCAAGCAGTTTTGAATTGCGCAGATAACTATTACTTCATTACGTATTTGAATTCATTTCACGCAGCTAATCTGAAAAAGAATCTTCATGTGGTTAGACCTTTTTGATTTGCGCGAAAGCAATGAAATTGGAAGAAAAAGCTTGTTGCACACATTCGAAAAATCGGTTTAGTGCAGTATACCAGTAGGACATCCATCCATCCATCTGAACTACAACAGAGCTCGTAAAGTGAAATCATTTCCTCTTGCCATGACAGTTTGCAATTTTTAAAAGATTCAAATCTACAAGATTGCTTGCCACAGCTTTTATTATACGGTTGTCACGAGTGATAAATATCCACAAACATAAATATGCTCAAAATTAGACATCTTTTAATTCAGTGTATTATCGCGATCGTAGAAAAATAATATCGATGGTACAATTTTACAAAATGAGTTCTACAATATTTTTCTAAATCGTGTGGTGATAGTAGATAGTAGATAGTTTTGACGGATTTCATAGGTTGTAGAAAATGATTTTTCTCTTTAAATTTTAAATCTTTACTTACTCTGCGGATTTATATATAAGAATATATATCGGTCAAATAGAAATGGTGGTAATATTCGCTGATATTTTTCATTTAGACGATTGCTTTTATTTTAATTGGATGATATCCCAGTGATTACAAGAAAATATAAATTTTGCCTTCGAAGATTTATAACCCCTTAATTTATAATTGTTTTTTTTGCGTGGAAAAATGTTAAAAATGAAATGACGACAAATCCAGGGACTATTTTCGATGATTCATCATTCATCAGATTTCTCAATGTCTAGTGGGAAGCGTTTATTTTAAGTTTAGTTGCTATAAGTCAATTGTTTATATTTAGAATGAACTTTTTAGATCACTGTATATATGTGTATATGCGGTTTCGATCGTCCAAAGTGGTTATATTATTTAAGTTAAATTTCATTTTATCATGGAAATTGACTTATTTTTGCTCCTGACTCATAAATTTCGCGTGGAATCTTTCCATTCTTTTTCTATCCTGCATATTTTTTTTTTACTAAGGTTTAATTTACTGGAGCTTCAAACAGTCAGTTTAACCATATCACTTAAATGTTAAGGTAATAAAGAATGCTTTCCAATGCTTCGATGAAGATAACAGTGGATTTTTAAATGAAGATCGCCTCAGAGAACTGTTGACAACTATGGGTGATCGCTACACTGATGAGCAGGTACAAAATTAAATTATTTTCATTCATCATTTTCGACTTTAAATTGAAAATTATTTAAATTATTGCTCTCTGAAATATTTTGATTTGGATTCAGATTTATATTAATTTTTATTTTTAATTTTGACTTGAATTTCTGATTCCATTTCTAATATATTTTTAAATTTTAAATTTTTAAATTTAAATATTTAGGTGGATGAGCTTTTCCGAGATGCGCCAATAAAGAATGGTCAATTTGATTACGTTGAATTCACTCGCATGTTAAAGCATGGAACAAAAGATAAAGATGATACCAATTGATTTTTAGTTTTAACTATGTTATTTCTGGATGTAAATAGAACTGATATGGTTTATAGAAGAAATTGGCAGTTGAACAATTATTGATCGAATTATTCGTGTTTTCGGGTAAGTTGCCTGTTCATTTTTATGAAAAAATTATGAGGTGAATTGCGAAAACGGTTTCGCAAAATATTTATTTTGAATTGCATATAATCCTATATATATATATAATATTTTATTAAATGTTTTAGGTAAATGTTTTAAACCTCCAGTTGATTTCTAGCTTTTATATAATTCATGCGGATTTGTCGCTTTTAACTGTTGCATTTTTATAAATTTAATTTGCACTACCATATAATTTCAGTTGTGTTATGCATTACATATTACGTATTACATATTAATAAATATAATAGATTTGTGATGTTTTTTTCTAAGAACGCTCGCTGTTTATTTCTGATTGGGCTATTTCCGACGGCTTGTCAGACTAAGTAAATTCTATCAGTACTTGGCAGTAAAATTATATTTGGAAGCATCATCATATGTACCACAGAACAGTCATTACAAGTCAAAAGGTTGAGCCTTGATTGCGTAGATGGTTTGTTTATTTAGGCCAGTATGGCACTTAGATTTCAGGATGCAGAGGCATATGATGGAAATCGTGGGATGTATTTTTGTTGCTTCAATTCAGCATATTTCATAAGTGGTTTGAGGGTTTATGTCAGTGTTAGAATGGATTGGAAAGAAATTTATATTTTTCAAATATTTTAAAAGTATTTTTATTTTGAGGTCGCTTTTAAATTTAAGTACAGTGAAATTTGTTGAATACGTTAAAATTTATTGATATTTGTCGTATTTGTAAATTTATTGATATTTGAAGCGGGAACATGGGAATATTTAGCTATATTATTGCCACAACTGCATTACTTATTGATAATTTTGTTTTATAATAGTGCTATGGAAGCAATTTCCGCTCAGCTACACATGAATGTCGAGAACTCTCGGGGTTTCTCGACTTATTTTTTGGATAATAAGCCATTTTGCAACTTCTGAAAAATTAAAAAATATAAAATTGTTCGCTATTATTTGAAATTAACTTGGCCATAGCCAAATCCTTGGACAAGTCTCGAAATAAACGTTGAGCTTTGCCTGTGCCTGAAACTAAGCCCTGGTCTAATCCTAAGCCTTTGCCAAAGACCTAGCCTAAGCCAAATTCTTGGCCAAGCCTTGAACCAAGCGTTTGGCTTCGCTTATACCTAGAAATAAGCCTTGGTCTAATCCTAAGTCTTAGGCAAAGCCTCGAAATAAACGTTGGCCTTCATTTTATCCTCGGTCGAAACATTGGCCTAATCTCAAACCTCTGCTGGAGCCTAGTTCAAGCCTAGGCCTCAGGCCGAAGCTCAAACCCGAGCCTAAGGGCAAACTCAAGATAAGCCCTAAAATTTTACAATTTTTTATGGAAACAATTACAAAACAAATTAGTATGTTTCGTGTATTTCCATGGATGATAGTAAGCCGAAAAATAAACTTTACGAAAAAAATCGTTGTCATTATCATTTTTTGCATCATGTAATAAATGCTCAAGTTCGAAAAATTGGTATCTTTTCGACTAATTAATTTCTTTTTCGACGATGTAATTTACATTTATTAATATTTTTCTAACTTAATTTAGTAAATTTTGCTTAAATTTGATTTACTTAAATTTAAAATAAATATATAATTAGAATCATTTATATTATAAATATAAAATCAATTATATACGTATGTATTTAAAATAAATTTATAATGATGAAGAATTAAAAATGTAATGAAAAATAAAAAACTTATTATACCAATGTTATCTATTATCATCAATCTTTTGTAAAAGATGCTAATCAAATTAATACGGTTTTTTTCGCCATGGTTCAGTGAAGAACCATTATCAGATAAAAGGGTAAAGCACAATCAATCCGTAATTCAAATCGTGCGATTAAATAGTGAAAATCGAAAATCTAGCGAAAAATAGCGACAAGTGACAATTTCTCAAAAGAGGCTTCGTTTCCTTTGATTGCATTGAGGGTTCAGCCAAAAAATCAGTTTTTGGAAAATGTAAGGTACAAAGCAAATTCGATTGTTGCCCTCCACATTATCCTTAATAATTTACTCGTGCGTTCGAGCGTTGAAACGATGGTCGAATGGCTTAGTGGTTGTTGCTATATTTGGAGTATCCATGCTGAGATTCTATTCGTCGTTGGAATAAACTTGTTGAAAAATTCGAAAGATGCTTGTTTTTCACATCTACTCCCATCATCAATGGACTCCTTGGAACATTCATTCAATATAGCTAGCCAGCGAAGCGAGCTTAACTGGAAATGGTGTGGATTCATGAAAAAGAAAATATTATAGAGATATGGGAAAAACTGGACTTCTGGCATTCTTGTTAAGGTGGATTAATCATCCGTGAAAGCGACTGTGGTGTAATCGAAACCACTGCATTATCATATTTAATCTTAATAAGAATAGTATTATTAATGCAATTTTCGCTAAAATGTTAAAGAAAGCAGCAATTGGTTTAGTGGTTGTTGCTCAGATTGGAGGTATCTGTCATTTTACGAATTTTTTTGAAGTAAAAACGATCAAAAAAATCCAAGTTTTATAGCGCGTCATTTAAAGCAGTAATAATTTCATGAATTGAAATGATTAGTCGGATGTCATCTGGTATCGGGCGATTGTCCCCGAAAACGCTTTTTTTGATTCGTATCGTTTAAATTTGTTCAAATCGAAATTAAGATATTTATGTTGCTGATGACATTAAAAAATATTCATCAGCAAAATATTCAGCATTTTCAACTTCATTGCTGGAAACACGAAAAATAGAAAAAAATTTTTGGCGGCGAACGTATCAATATCAATCAAGGACAACAGATGGCACTTCATGGTTTGTTTGGCCTCAATGAATTTCTGAATTTTTTCCATCTTATGAGGCTGTCCTTATCGATGCGAATGGTTATTTCGTATTTCGTAAGAGTCGTCTTATTATTTTTCATTATTGTTATAATATTAATATATTGTTACGAACTGTAATTATTTGTTTATTTATTTGTTTATTTGAAATTATTTGAAATAATTTATTTGAAATTACGTGGCAGTACAATTCTTCACTGGATTGAGAGGATCCAGCTCGACGACTAACAATGGTACGACCTGCAAATACCTGCAGATTTTCCACATATTTTTTCGAATTTCACTTAAAAAATTTCCCATTTGAAAGCTGACGTATTTCACTCGATATTTCATTTCAATTTTTATTTTTGGACTTTAGCTTATATTCAATTTTTTCAATATTTTATTTGAAGCAAATTTTGTGAAAAACAACTCTCATCTCATGATTGTTTGCATGGATTGTATCATTTTTTTGAACATATAAACGACACTGATAACTCTTCAGAAGAACGGCCCTTTTTCTCTGTCTACTCTTTTATCTCTTAAAAACCGAAACATGAATAACAAAAATAAAGTAAAATTATTGAGCTTTTATTCGTTTATTTCTGCGAAATCTTGAGTATATTTTAATCAGTTACATCTATTTTTACATTTTCTACATCTATTACATCTATTTTTTATTATCTACAAATATATACAAATATTTATCTACAAATATTTTTTTATATCTACAAATTTTCAAAAACTTTTATTATTTTTAAATAAATTGAAAATAGAATGCAAAAATGAAATTAACCCCTATACACAATCCTTGTTTATTTCTTGAAAATACCTTTTAAAAAACGTATATAGTTTTAAAAGAATTGTAACTGAGAAAAAAGAGATAATGCAGGAAAATAAAAAATATAAGAACACCACATATATATAGTCATAAACACCAAATATATATATAATCATAAGTATATAACCATAAACAAGGTTAAGAGACCATTAGTCTCGGTGCGATTGACATTGACATAAGTTCCTGGAATAGCAATTTACATGCATAAGGTATTCGTAAAGCTGAAACTTGTGTTTTATTTCGACATGCCTGAAACTCATTTAAACAATTTTTTTAAAAAAACTGAATCACTGAAACACTGAAAAACCATAAAAATCTTTAGAAAAATATCAGCTGATTATAATATAGATAAATTTAATTCAAATTTAAGATTTTAAAAAGATTTTAAAAAAACTATATCATATAAACAGAAAATATTAATATCTCATATTAATTAAATTTATATATATATAAATATATATATATATATATATAAACCATCTGTTAATCAGTCAAATATTAAAAATATACAAAAAATTTAACCTTGCACTCAAAAGAATTCGTCCGTAAATTAGCGACAACAATTAAACCGCAATTATTGCAAATATAAACGTGATATGGATCAGATACTTCGAACAAGCGTTCACGAAGAAATTGCGCAGCACCATGAGAAATCTGGCAATCCCGTTCCATTTCTCCAAAACGAAGACCCCCATCCCTAAAAAAAAATAAAAGTGAAAAAGAAAAAATTAAAAAAATTGTTAAATCTTCAAGAAAATGAAGATAGTGAAAAATTGAATTTAATAAAAATGAAAAAATAAACCTCGCTCTTCCTTCCATAGGCTGACGATTCATCATTTGAACGGGACCTCGAGCTCTTGAATGGATTTTGTCATCTACCATATGTTTCAACCGTTGATAATAGGTAGGACCCAAGAATACCTGCAAAATAATTAATTTATAAGAATGACGGCAATAAGCGTAAAAAAAAATATAAATGAAATATTTCAAATCACGGTTGCAAATTCAAAAAAATACCTGGGTTGTCAGTTTTCGACCAGTATGCCCATTATACATGATTTCATTGCCTCGTAAATGATAACCGTATTCTTGCAGAAGGTTACTAATCTTTTGGACATTAACAGTATCATTAAACGGTGTAGCATCACCAATTTCACCTTTATTAGCTGATAACTGAAAAATTGATTCTAATCAGTCCAAGACCATTTTTTAAAGTTTAAATCGTTAAAAAAATATTAATCCATTAAGAAAAATTCTGAAAAAAGATAACCTTCCCTTGCAAACATTCTATAAGATGACCAATCGTCATTCGAGATGGAACTGCATGAGGATTTATGATGATATCAGGAGTAATACCTTCATTTGTGAAAGGCATATCTTCCTAAAAAAGTTTAAAAATTTCAAATTCAAATTTAAAAAAGTTTGCGTTAAAAAAATAGAAAGGAATAAAAATATATGATAAATGTCAAAAAAGAAAAAGTATATTGTGATAAAATTTTAAGAAAATCAAAAAAGTCACCTGTCTGTACATTATACCCATAGTTCCCTTTTGACCATGACGAGACGCAAACTTATCACCTATCTGCGGCACACGCACTGATCTTACGCGAACCTTTACAAATTTATTACCATCGGTATTCAATGTTAACATCACCTAAACTTTTAGGTTTTATCATCAAATTTCTGGCCATGCATAAGCGTAAAATTACCTAAACCATTCTTCTTCTTCTTCTAACCATTACTGGTTAGGCTGGCTCCAATGGCTACAAGGATAAGATGCTTCCAAGCCGCACGGTCTGATGCCATCACCTAAACCATAAGAAAACAAAATCACACCTGATCAACAATACCAGTTTCGCTGCTGCGTAAATAGGTACTAGAATCTCGTTTTGTATATCGTTTAACATTGGCATCCAAATCATCATCCTGAATAATATATGATACAAAATATTTTTATGTAAAGCAATGGAAAAAGAATGTATTTCAAAACTGGAACAAAAAATTAAAAATAATTAAATAAATGACAGTAATATTAACATAAATTAAAGGTTATCAAAAATAAAGTTTACAGTATCAGGTAATGCTATAGTCTTTCCGATAATAACGTCATTCCCAGAAACTCTCATTCCCGGCGAAATAATGCCGTCATCATCCAGTTTATCATATAAACAATATCGCATGCCGGAACATTTTTCTCTAGAATTAAACTCACTAATAATGAAGAGTTTCAATCTGCAATAATTTTCAGGTAAAAAAAAGAATGACAAGTACTTAGAAGGTTTTTCAATTATTTCCTCATTTGCATTGTCCAGATTAGCCTCTTCGTCACGGTAGGATCGGTAAAACACCTTAATCATGAATGATGAATGCAAAAATGAGAAAAATTTCAATAATCAAAAACTAAAAAAATTAAAAATTTCAACAACAATAATAATAATAACAATAAAAAGATTGAAGTAAGAGCCAGAGTAGCACCTCGTTAAAAAAAAAAGCTCACCGATCTGAACAAACCACGATCGATTCCAGATTGATTCATTATTATGGAATCTTCTTGGTTATATCCAGTATATGATAAAATGGCAACGATTGCATTGATTCCGGCTGGTAATTCGTTGAATCTAAAAATATAAATTAACTATTATAAAATTCTGAATTCAAAGAAATAAAGATTAAAGATTAATTGCAAATTTTAATTCTCTTTTTTGACATTAACTTATCGCATTTTCTATTAACCTGAGATATTCCATCGACCGAGTTGTAACAAGTGGCTTTTGAGGATAATATAAAACATGTGCAAGCGTATCCATACGAACATGAAAATTAGTCGTATAGACTCCCATAGCCTGTTTTCCCATAGCACTCTAAAATAAATTTAAAAAAATAAACAAATGCATAAGCGATGCTTTTTAAAACTTTTGTTGATATTTTTTTGTCTAAAATTCCTACATGAAGTATGAAACTGAAAATATTACTTGATATGTATTTCTTGGACTTTGGTTATGATCTGGAAATGGAATTATAGATGCACAAACTCCAAGAATCATAGCTGGATGAATTTCACAATGTGTGTAAGTATCACAATATCCCCCAGCTTTTAAATCTTCTGGCATCATAGCCAACATTATAGTTTCTAAAATAAAAAACATTTCTTGTCAATACTGAATTCATAATAGCGAAAATCAATTATAAAATTAAAAATATTTTAATTAATTAATCAATGAATATAAAATATGAATTATAAAATCACCTTCTTCCATGGCATCTATTAATTCAACTACACCTCCAGCGACAAGATCTGACCAGGAATAGTTTATACTTGTATCTTTCAACTGGTCGATATGTTTCTTTTTAAGAGCGAGTTTCTGTTTCTCAACAATTAACAATGGTCGACAAACACGGCCAGCATCGGTATAAATCCGAATTTCACGGTCGCGAATATCACGTACCATTGAAACCTCAAATAACACATTTCAAAAAATGTGAAAGAAATAAAACAAAAAGAGATATATAAATTTAATAAAACAAAAAGAGATATTCAGATCAAGTTTTTAAAAGTACCCACCAGTACCAGTTAAACTCGCTCCACCGGCTTGCAGGACTAGACAAACTAGAAGGAGAGAGAAAAACAAGTGGGGTGGGTCGCCAGCAATTTGTATTTTTTAAAAAGTTCGGCCGAAGGTAGAATTATAACATCAGCACTTCATGTTAAGTAACAACACAATGAGCCATTCTACCCTCTTATATTCCCTTCGTTAGACGCAGCACTACCATACAATAAAGCATGGTGCATCGGCCAGATTCAAATGCAAATTTTAATTCTCGGTGGCAATTATTTTGCCACTAAACTGCTGACTTATCAGATTAAAAAAAATAATAAGAATCTAGAAAAAGAATTCAGAGACTTCTGAGACGACAATATCCATTTCTCGACGCAATTTTTTCAATGTGGACATCAACTGCTCAGGATCGCGGTGAATTCCAACCCAAGACCCGTTAACGAAAATTTTTGTGGCATCTGATATAGATGCAGGTGCAACTTCTAAAAAGAAACAATGGAAAAGATGAAAAAAAAGTAAAGAAAAAATGCAAATGCAAAAAAAATGCAAAAATAATAACCATTATTAAATACTTGTGGAAAAATTAAGACCTTCTAAATTTTCCATTGACCATTCTTCCAAAAATTCGAGAATCGGTTCTGGTAAACTTCCTACTGAGATATAAGCCATAAGAGCTAAATTTTTGACCAAACCAACAGCTTGCCCTTCTGGTGTTTCGGCAGGACAAACCATTCCCCACTGAGTATTATGAAGTTGTCGTGGTTTAGCCAATTTACCTTCACGACCTATCGGAGAATTGCAGCGGCGCAAATGCGATAATGTAGCTGTATATGTGAGGCGATTCAGCACCTTAAAAAAAATGTTTGGCGGAAGCGTGTAATAAGAGTGTATAATGTTCTCACGCTTCTTCACATTTATTCAAATAATTTTTTCGAAGATTGAATTGCATAAAAAATTTCATTCAAGTATCATGCCGTTATCGAATCGTTTTTTAAATAAATATGTTTTACAATATTGGTTCGAAAATCAACCGCAAGATTATTACCTGACTAACACCAGCTCTAGACTGATGTGCTTTTTTCTGATCGCCCCAATTACCAGTAGCTAAGGAATAAGCCAAGCCCCGAGTTATTGTCGATGTCTTAACACATACATCTAATATGAAATCACCATTTTTATTGATATATTTTTGGGCAGTTAATCGCACCTTTAAAAATAAATTAATTTTAATTAACAGAGATTTGCCATTAATTTGTCGGCTGACAACAATGCTTGATAAGAAATAAATAAATTAAGATGATAAAAAACATATTTCAAAAAAGAAATCAGAGAAATTAGAAACACACTTCTTTGAGAAGATTTCTAAATAATGCTCGAAAAAGGAATGCCAACAAAGGACCAGCAAGATCAAGCCGTTTATTCCCAATATGATCTCGATCATCCAATTCTCTACGACCAAGAGCTGCCAGTAATAAACGATGAACCATATAACCCAGAAAATACTAGAAAAATTCTTATTTATTGACGTCAACCTTCAGTCAAATCATAATCATAGTTTAAAACCAATTTCATGCGATATATAGGATAGAGAGTTCATTACATTTAAATTTGATAAAGATTTCCAAATTCATCCTTCTGAATATAATTAGATACGTGAAAAAAGAAAAATTAAGGAGAAAAAAAAAGGAAAAAAAGTTCGCCAAACGAAACGAACTGCTTTTTTGGTCTCACAAAAGTCGGAAACCCCAACATGAGGAAGCATTTCTTTTTGAAGAATTTCTTTTGCATACTTCATTCGCTGTTCTTTGTTTACACCTGGTTTCGCACCACGCGCACCAATGAAATTCAGCGCAACATTTTGCTCCTGAAAAATATTCCAAAAGAAATGAGAAGAGAGAGTAGAAACAATATTTTTTAAAAATTTTCTACAGTAAAATTCTATAGCAAATTCTACAGCAAAGGAAATTTTACACACAATAACTCCTAAGGAAATTTTTTTGAAAAAATTTAAATTTTTGGAAAAAATTTTGTATAAAGCCAGAAGCCAAAGCCAGAAGCAAATTTTGTATAAAGCCAAAAATTTTTAAATTTTTTAACATTAAATGCTAAGATCCAACGTTTTTTTTCGAAAGACATTGATTTTGGTTTTTTGGAAAAATATAAATTAAAATAAAATAAAATATAAATTTAAGCTACAAAAATAGAAATTTAGAACCTATTTACTATTTAGTAAAAATTCAATTTTTTAACTAAATAGTAAATTGAAATTAAGCAAGAAAATTGCAAATGCACCTGTATAACAAATGCTTCGTCCAAACTAGGTTTAACCATTTCCATCATTTCAGGATCATCGAAATCATAAATAATATGTTCGAGAATGTCATGATCAGAAACAAAACCCAAAGCTCGGAATACAATCATAATGGGGATCTCCTATAAATTGATGAACCAATTTGATAAAACAATTTTTTGGAATAATTTGCATTTTTCGCAAAAGTCTGCAAAATGGAGTAAAATAAAACCTGTTTAATATAGGGAAGAATAGCAACGATTCTTTGACCCATAGATGTTTTCTTCCCTTGAGCTCCACCTCCACGAGCCATCATATTCACCCAAAGCGTTGATGTTGGCCGACTAAAATCATCTAATTAATAGAATAAATCCGGCATTTTTTTTCTAAATTGCATAGTCAAGGAAGCCTTATGATCTTGTTCTCCAGAATTTTTCTATTAATTTTCTCATTAATTCAGGAAAATTCAACATCTTCGAAATATTTAAGAGCTTTTTCAACAATTTTTCTCGAAAAAAAAGTTAACACAGAAGGGTTAAAAATTACAGCACCACTTTGTATAGTAAAAGTCAATAAAAGTCAACGCGTTCAAAAATAAAAACATATTTGTAATAAAATATGGGGAAATAACAAAATGAAAAAATTAACCTTGAATTTTCTAAACATGACCGACATTCTGTTTTATAAGCATATTTACCATCCTTCATTGCAAATACGTAAACAGTATTAGTGGCCATTTTTTCCTGCGCAATTAAAACCTTAAATGATAAATTTTAGATGAAAGCAAGAAATCCATGAAAAATGAGATAAAAAGATGAAACCAACTTTTTCTGAACCATTGATGACAAAATATCCGCCAGGATCAAGCGGACATTCATTGAGTTCAGTTAGATCACGATCTGACATATTCGCCAGCATACAATATGAAGATCTTAAGTGATATAAAAATTAAGCGAAGATGTTTTAAAAAACTGCAATTTAAAAAGGAGCATAATACAAGACTGATTTGATTTCAAAATCTCAAATTTTAAATTATAACAATGATCCTTTGAACATTATCGAATATGATTTAACTGAATATAGAAAAAAAAACTGACCTTAACATTATTGGAATTTTGCCAACAAAAACTTTCTCATATTTAGTATCTTTTGGTTCATCACCTTCCCTTGACATTGTTTTCGTTATATCAATGTATAATGGCGATGAATAGGTAAGATTCCTTAATCGAGCCTAAAAAGCAAAGATTGAAAATTTCAAAATTTTCAGCGAATAACTCCAACCTCATTAGGCATCATCGGTGTTGGCGCTCCATCCTTCTCCCAATGTGTTGGTTTCGACAGATAAATCTGATCGAATTTCAAAGCGAATTTGATAGGGTTTTCCAAATCACCTGCAATTCGCAATTTAAAATTACGATTTATTTAAGAGTTAATAATCCTAGTACAAATTTGATTAACTTTTCCACTAAAATTAACAGGATATTTGAAAAAGTTGATCCGAATATCAAATCCGAACTTCTAAAGAATTTCATTAATTTAATAATTTCGAAAAAAATGAAGAAAAATAGAACATGATGAAAGAAAATCTAAGAAACCTGAATAATGCTGAACTTCTGATTGAAGCTCAACAGGAGGAGAGTCTTCAACAATGCGTTGAACGTTCATTTGAATAAATTCATCGAAACTATCCAACTGTTGACGAACTAAGCCTTTTTCATCGAAATAAGCAGAAATTACTACCCAACAAGCCTCCTAAAATAAATATGAAGGAAAATAACGCATGCATGTTACTGGAAAATTGCTTTTATTGTCTTTTTAAGAAATCAAAAATTACCTGCCACTGTTCTGAAGAAATTTCTTCATCTTCCTCCTCGAATGGCATTTCTTCCATTTCTTCATCGTCGTCATACATTTTTGACTTTGGATGATCTTGATTAAGATATAATAAAAATTTGAATATAAAATTAAAAATTCAATAAATAAATTTATTGAGAAATTCATCAGCGAGGAGGTAAGCAAGGAAAAGAAAAATAAATAAATGAATTACGAATTCTTCTTCTTCTAACAGTTCTCACCATTACTGGTTAGGCTGGCTCCAACCGCTACAAGGGTAAGACTTCCAAGCGGCGCAGTCTGATGCCATCATCGACAGTAATGGAAGCCATTCCTTTTTCCATCGTCTAAGTCCATATATTGCTGGTCCTATACGTTCAAAATCTTTTCTCACAGTATCAGTCCAGGCCTTGATTGGCCCAGCTCGCTTTTGACGCCAACCGTCACACGGTTTAGCAAATAACGAAATATGCGTCAACTCGTGTGGTGGACGACGGAGAATGTGCCCTAACCAGCGAGCTCTATAATATTATTTATGCAAGTGGTATTTGAACGAAGATGGATGCGATCTTGTGAGATTTTTTCCGTTCGACGGATGCACCTTAGACAAGAGTGGTCAAAGGCAGATAGCTTCTTAATATTCTCCACTCTCATTGGCCATGTCTCAGAACCATATTATAAGATCGAACGGATCACGGCAATATAGATGCGGACTTTCGTTTTACGAATTATACTTATTTAATTAAATGATAAATATAAAGAATACTTAAATAAGAATACTTTATTTATATTTAAAGAATTAAATAAAAAAGATTGGTTGAAAAAGGTGATGTGGAAAATATTGGTGAAAAGATGCGATACCAGTGGGGCAGGAAAAAGGATTTGGTGTAAAGAGAAATAAAGACACAGGAAAAATCAGGACAGCCGAACGTACAGTGCCCAGATAATCTGCCAACTGCCAAAAATAACAGCCAAAAGAGAGAGCCAAGAGAGAGAAACGATGATGACTACTTCTATAAAACGAAGGAAGCGAAAAGAATGATAGCTCAGTATGCGGAAAATTTATAAATGCCTGAAGATCCTTATTTCACTGATTTTGAAAGCTTTTGCGCTTGAATTCATAAAGCCTACAAAAATCGCAGCTGAATTCAATTTCTGATCTAAAAAATAATTTCGAAAATCTTTAATTTTTTTTACTTTATTTATAAACACTTTTTGGTTGAGTTTTTTAGAGAAAACTTCATTCCATAAATAAATTTCCATAAGTCAATCGGTAAACAAATAATTTAACAATAATTAAAAATAACAAAAAAACATGCATAAATAAGCTTTACAATACGTATTCATTAAATTACTTTTTAAAAATCGCAAGAATGGTTAACATAAGTATTTATATATATATTTGCTTAATTTGTTCCAATAACTCGAAAAATTACTTTTTCAAAATTGTTTCACTTCACATGGCATCTTACTTCACATAATTCCAATCAACTTCGGCTAGTCAACTGGTTTATTTTACAAAAGTACCAATATAAAGTCTACTGGGACTACGGCGAACTAGGCAGTTTTGGGCCTTGGGGACCTCTAAGCCTAAGCCTACAAACCACCGTTATGTGGAATTTTATTCCTTAAATTGTTAGTGAATGTATTCCACGATGAGTCTCTAAAATCTCCTCACAGCATTCTTTAGTCCATTTAATTCGACTTATGGCAAAGATTCGCAAGATGAACTATTCCAATCTTTCACTACAATCACCCAAGAACCGCAATATAATATAAATTTTTCACAGAACGTGCAAATTACTGAATTTCTGATGGAAGCATCCACAAAAATCTTTCGAAGCCATCCGAAGCTGCGCTGAAAATTATGTTTTAAAGAAATGCTATTTTTCAGTCACTGTGAGAAAGTTTGTTGCATTCTTTCGTGGTAAATTTCAGTCAGGATATCTTTATTCTCCTCTGGTGCCTTTCTCTGTAATTGGGGTTTGTGACTATTAGTTTTCAGTTAATTTTTTGACTGTCCTTAGCTGTGAGAACATAAATCAATGAAAGAATCGGAATTGAACTATATCGTTTGAATTAATAAAAGGTTCAACGAACATTTCACATAGTTCAAATCAGACACAAGTGGGCTTTACAGCCCTCGGAGGAGGCTCTTTTGATACTTTTAATTTATTGATTGATTTGTTGACTGAATAAAACATGTGGACTTTATATTATAAAAATGAAATATTACTTTCTTCCATTTCCGCCTGTTTTGCCCTAAAGAGCAAAGTTGAGCCAAGGGGAATTAGGAAATCTTATAGACTTGCTTTCTTTCAAAGTCACTCCGTGGTTTTATGCATAGTAAACGAGTTCTGCGGTTTTTCTTTAAGTACCATCTCCAAGTAGTTACGTAGAAAGACTATTAAGCTAAAGTCTTGGTTTGTACTGCTGTGCTATATTGTATATATCTTTTTTTATTTGGCATTTGTCGGTTGTCTGACAGAATAGAGGTTATAGGGTCATATTCTTCGTCTGGCTGGCTGTTAAAGATTATGTTTGCCATGCTCGCAACTCTTCTCGCGGATCAATCTGTAGAAAGTTTTCTTATGCAAACATCTTTTTAATCTTTTGATTGCTCTGATGCTTTGATATATTGATAAATTGAGCTTTTCTCTTTCAACATTTTACCTTATTTTCCGTCCGATTGTTCATTTGTCGTTTTGTCGACATTCTGTTGTTTTTTCATTATTCACTACCGTTCGTTTCAAATTGCTATTTTTCAGGTAATAATTACTAAAATAAAACTAAAATAAAATTTATATATGCAGAAACAAAACTCCAATCCAACCATTTTGCAAGATTCATTTGCAATTGTTTCAACTTCACAGAGTTCGCAGTGTTCTGTAGACGAAGTAAAACCACTCGAATCACATTCTTTATCTGATTTTTCAGCATCTGCGCAAATGAATTCAGTTTCTTCATCGAAAATGCATGAAACTTTATCATTTCATGCTTCTACGTCAAGATTTGCCTCAATTTCTAACCAAACTTTAACTCCTAAGGAAGAATATCGGAAATTGAAGAAACATTTTTACAATCTTATTGCTGTAAATCTTTTAATGCTTACTAATAATTTTAAAAAATTTCCGTTGACCAAATGACCAAAAGATTAAAAACAGAAATTATTTTATAAAAGATTGAAGAAGCAGAAAATCTATTCTCATATTCAGTTAAGCCAATGAAAATTTATATTTAATCACAGTTTAGTTATCGCTTTTTTTGAACACGGATTCCGTTTAATTTTCATTTTTAGTGTCTATTTACTTTCAACATTTTCACGCGTTTTTTTGGAGTTTACATTTCTATTATTTTTTTATGTAGAGAGAACATAACAAAGAAAATTAAGAATATTATGTGTTTCTATTTTTTTCCATTTGAAATTACTGAAATTCACAAGCACTTCCTATTCTTAATTATTCTTTATTGAAATTACTGAGAATTAATCGGAAGAAATTTATGGAATACCTCATTTAATACTCGAAATTGGACTTCGTAAATTTTCATCAAATTTGCTACAAATTTTCCTCTTTATATTTTATTTATTGAAGTACGAATAATTATTTTTCATTTCTTTTATATCTTTTCGAATTCGTATTCGCTTATTTAGGAAAATGAATTTTATCAAGAAGAACTACGTCGATTACAACGAAAACTTTTAAAGTTATCTCGTGACAAAAATTTCCTTTTTGATCGTTATGCGATTTATGCGCCACATAGCGGTTCATCTGATGATTCGGATCCGTGTGTTAGCGCTGATGACCGAGTTACACTGAAAAAGTTTGTTGAGATTTTTCTAATGAAAATTTCATTTTAAAAAATATTGCGTTTTTTACAAATTAATCTCGAATAATGAAATATGGAGATTTTAGAAAACCGAGGCCTCTAACTGTTCGACGTCGTCCGGCGGCATCGAAACCGAAATAAACGAAGCCATTGATTAAATCTAGTTTATTTAGGCTTATTAGTACAGATATATATCTCCCCTATTATTTCTATCATTTTTATTCAATAATTAGTTTATAATTGTTTTTTCTTTGTTTATATTTTTGATTCGGTACGATTAAATATGATTTTGAATGATATATATAATACAATGTATATATAAATATATGGCTTGTATATGCAAATTTTTTTTTGACTTTGCGCGCTCTCTATTTTTTCTTCATTGGATTTGCATCTATTACGAAATTATCTGCAAATATCTCGTCAAATGTTACGAAATTGTGTAGCAGACACAGTTTTACTGAGAAATAAATCTATTTGTTTCCCTATAGTTTGTCTTTTATCGGTCTAAAGCGGACATATTTTTTGGGCTCAACTTTTTTATGCATATTTTTTCATTATTTTTTCACATTCCAATAAATTGGATTCATCTCATGAAAATTGCAAATGAGGGTTGGAATTCTTATTTTTGCAATTTTTAGAATTGCATTTTCATATTGTAAAGGATTTCATTTTAAAAGCTTATATTTATTGTGATCTTTTTTTAATTGAGTTTGTTGCTTGCAAATCCAAATAAAAAGTAATCGAGTGGTTAGCCCCTGCTTAGGTTGTTATTATTGTAAATATTTGACTTTATATCTCCAAAATTGATTCAGAGGTGAAATAAATTTAAATATGTGAAATTTATGAAATTTTAGCACGGAAAGGAACTTTCGAATGCGGAAAATATTTTAGAAAATGGTTTTCTAGGAAATTTATTTTGCAGTGTTCATCGATATGTCACTAACAATTCCTGAACTTTTCAAAAAAACATTTACGTCTAAAGCGAATACATTGAAAACTGAATTAAGGACATTAACGACTGCAAAAAATGAAGATGATGATACGTCAGTTAAAAGAGGTAAAAGTTTTCTCAAGTAAATTTTAAGGGAAATTTCTCACTGCTAATCGTTCAAAATGCAAACATGGTTCTTCAGTTGTGCCTAAAAGATCTTAAAAGATCGTTGAATGGGTTATCGTGTCGAGAGGTAAGCTTTCAGCTCGTGCATAGAAAGATAGTGCTTGCCATCCACCGATACGTATAATTGGCGAAGTAATCTGATAAGCTGACGCCGGAATAACAGCCAGCAGCTGTGGCGTTCAATTGTGGTTCATTTTTTTGGGAAGTTTGACTAAAATGTGTATCTCTTTTCTCCTTATCTACTTTTCCGGCAGTCAAACGTCGAGTATCGCGCCATCTTTTCCGATTAAAAATTAAATTAATCATTTAACCATAAAATTCTTTAAAATATGCTTTTCAAAACCGATTATAGTCCATATTTTCGATAACCCAATTTTTTCGCAGAGAATTTTTTAAAAATTAGTAAAATGCGATAGATTATTATTCTTCATGGCAAACGTCAATTAAATATTATTAATTATTAATTATTTAATTGTTAATTAAGTAGTAAGTAAATGTTGCATAAATATTATTTTTGTTTTGTGAACTTTTGATTGTGAAATTTTCCCTCTCCATCTATATATGCTCCATTTAATTCAGGTTGGTGAAAAATCACCTGATGGGAGTGGTTTCAGTGGTTTTAATAGATGACGTCAAAAATGTGGAGGACCATTCAAAAAACTGGAGCGAAAAGATCAGGAGAAATTTTTAGCATAGACGATGATGTACGGGCTTAGGTGGTGGAAAAAGGAGCTTAAGGACTATTTCAGGAGGCATCTTAGTCTCGAATGGAGTCAGCCAAACCAGCAATGGTGCGGGCTAGTAGAAGAAGAAGGAAAAGGGAGATTCAATAATGAAACTTGAATTGCCAATAGAGAATATTAGCTTACATGCTCTATGAATTCGTTAAGTATGGAAAAGCTATAACAGTTAACATAAATGAAATGCATCCAGAAATATTAAACGTGAAGAAATGTGATTTTCAAAATTTCTGATTTCAGACGCCTAAAGAGGTTCTGCATTTCATAGTTAAAGGTAAAGTTGATCTAAAAGAAACACCAGAAAAAATAGGTTTTATTTGGTAACACCTGCGTGCCATTCAAAATCAAATGCTGGTGTTTCCATAAACCCAATGGAAAGACATATGTTTCACTTGTCAATCACTTGGCAGAAAAAGAACCCTTTTTTTAACGGAATTATCACTGATAAAGCAAAATGTTCTCTACTATAATTCCACAATTAAACGTCAATCATTAATAGAAATCCTCTAATATTTAGTGCAAAAATTATTCATATGTGATGGGGAATAGATTAGGGATTCATTATAAACCCGGTTGAACTATTCTTTTTCTTATAAATTGCTCGCAGGATTATGCAGGACCGTATGCGAGAAATGTGTGCCAAAAAATCAAGAAGTTTGATTGGGAAGTTCTGTCTGCTCAAAAAAATTTCTTTTGAAAAAAAATTCTTCTGAAAATGTACAAAAAAGGAATTGGTTTTTAGATGGGGAAAACTCGTATAAAAGTAATGATTATATAGACTAATTATCTTTAGTTTTCTCGGTATTTTAAATAGCATTTTTGAAAAAATTGCAGTATATTTACGCAGCGCCGTAATATTTACCTTTTTATATATAACTATAAACGGACTGTTGTAGTTTTTAATAGTTTGTTGTTTTTTTAGATTTCGCTCAAAAACTGGTAAATAATTTCAACAATGGCTCAAGTGATTATCTTCGAGGTTTACTTCATGATGGTCAGTGGCGAAAGGCTTTAACGTCTGAATTCAACAAATCATATATGGCTGATATTGCTCAGTTTCTTAAAGTGCAGAGTGAAAAGGTTTCTTCATTTTTTTTCAAGATATAGTAACTTTTGTGCGTTGATGGCTCAGTGCAAGAAGTTTACCGTCGAGAATCGAGGCTTGAGTTCGAATGCACCACTATTCATCCTGTGGTGGTCTCATCTAATGGGGGAAGTAAAGGAAAGTAGAATGGTTCAATAGGTTGCGGACCGCTAAAGTTTTACTCCCAGCAGGAGTAAACTTATCCAGAAATCCGGGTGATACTGGCCATTCATCTACACTTCTATCGCGAAAGGTCTCTCCGGCATATTTGTTCGGCAAGCCAGCGGAGCGAGTCTAACCAACAGTGGTGAATATGCATATCTTAAGTGGAAATTTTTATTGGTTATTTATTAAGTGAATATTGGTTTTCGAAGATCCATACTCAGTAAAAAAAATAAATTTTTATAGAATATCAAAGTTTTTCCACCATCAGATTTAATTTTCAATGCATTCAATCTTACTCCACTCAGTGATGTGCGTGTAGTAATTATTGGTCAGGACCCCTATCATAACGACAAGCAAGTTAGTTTTTCGTTTCTCATTTATATTCATATGCATGACAGGGATTATTTCTGATCTACTTTAGCTATAGATATGCCCTTATTTTTGTGAATGGAAATTTTTTCATAGAATTTTTTCCATGATTCATTTCAGGCTCATGGTTTATGTTTTTCAGTGTCGAAAGGTGTTATGCCGCCACCTTCACTTTTAAACATTTTTAAGGTTTATTCAATTGCTACATGGTGACTTTATCACATTTTTTGAAATTGGTTTTAATATTTGTAATATTTATAAATTCATTTTATTCAGTTTTCTCGGAAATTTCAAAGAATTTATCATATTTCATTAGAAATTGATTGCATATTCTTCTATAGGATTCTGGGAATATTATTTTTATTTTCCATTTAATTGCAAAAATTTTCTGCTTTTTAGGAGCTAAGGGCAGATATACCAAAATTCAAAATGCCTAATCACGGTTGTCTCGAAAGCTGGGCTCGGCAAGGTGTTTTCTTGCTCAATGCAACGTTGACAGTGGAGTATGGTTTAATAAATCTTTATTAAAGTACTTGACAATGAAGATTGAATAATGAATGAAAATTATCTTCGAGCGATCTAAAAATTAAAATAAAAAAGTTTATTAAAAGTACTTTTTAAATATCAAAAATTTCTGGGTAAATTTTTTTTCAGAGCTCATAAAGCAAATTCGCATAGCCATATTGGTTGGCAAAAATTTACCGATGAAGTAATACAGATTATATCACGTAACTGTAAAGGCGTTGTATTTCTTCTTTGGGGTGGATTTGCTCACAAAAAAGAAAAATTGATCGATGATAAGAAACATATAATAATAAAGGTTAAAAAATTTTTATTTACTGGTTGATTCGAAATTAAAGCAAAATTTTTTATGATTATGAAAAATTTTTATGATTTTTTATTAGTTTATATAAGTTTATTATATAATATATTATATAAGTTTCTTTCGAGGTGTTTTAATTGCACCCAATTTTATAAATTTTCTTTCAATTACAATTTTCAGAATGCCCATCCTTCTCCACTCAGCGCTCATAAGTTTTTGGGATGTCGGTGCTTCTCGAAGGCTAATAAATCTTTAATAAAACTGGGAAAATTGCCTATAGACTGGTGTATTATGTAATTTTTAATTCTGTGCGGCCATCTATTTTTTTTCATTATCATACTTCATTTTATTTTTGTTATTTCATTTGTTATTTTACGAATTCATTTGAAATGAGTTCTTTTCAGAGTACTGTTTAATCATTTCTCAATAATATTTTTAAATGGATCAAATTTTTCTTGATGAGGAAATATTGAGTCTTATGGTCTAGTAAAAATTATTTGGGATTTTTTATCTAAACTATAAGAGCATTTTCCTCTATGTAGGAGCTTTGATCTCTTATTTTGGATTTTATCTTGTTATTGAATTTTGTTTTCCAGAAAATCCTTTGTATTCTAAAGACATTGATGGATATATGATTTATTTTACAGTTATGCGTTATGCGCTACATGTTATTGAATGATCTTGTCATACTTTTTATAATTTTGCTTTTACTAGTTTTTTTGCTAATTAGGCAAAGTTTCAGATTTAATCTGGTTTTCATCTGGTATTTTTTGTGGCCAATTTCAATTGAATAATTCGCTGAAATTTATTATCAACGAGTTTTTTCATTTTTTCAGCAATAAATTTTCTCTTATTTAGCTAATTGAAATTGCCAATTTTTAACGAAATAAATGAAGCTTTATGTCATTATAATAATATAAACTGTTGACTAATTTGAAACATATTTTTCACTGGATTATTAAAGTAGATATTTTTTATCTGTTAGAATAAGATTTTGTAATTTTCGCGCAATAATTTTGATTAAAGTGATTACATTTAAAATTTGCCAAGTCTGCGAAAAATTTTTTTTTATTTATTGGTAGAGAAATAAACGGACGTCACTCCCGAGCCGTCAGATTCGGTTGGCGTGAAATATACCGAAGTGGCAGGGGATGTTGAAGGTGGTGGTTTTACTCCTGCAGTTGTAGGCTGGGTAGCTTCAGCCAGTTGCGTCGCTGAAATTTTTCTCATATAGCCTGAGGTGGGGTTTTTTACTTCTAAGACATGAATATTTTTCTAAAATTGGAGGAAACGAAGATGATTAAAGAAATTTATCGGGCAAGCCAAGTTTATCGTTTTGAAGATAGATCAGTTTTGAATAATTTACCGTTAATTCCATAATATACCGAAAGTGATTCGGTTTCGCCCACTCTGCCGCTTGAATAAGCTACTTCTTTGGGAAGGGTTCCTGCCGCCATCATTGTTGATCCTTCCTTTACTGTATGAATTTCTTTAACTTTGGGAGCTGCGTCTATAGCAGTTCTTGTTGATATTACTTCCATTTCAGGCGATGCACCAATCGCAGTCCTTGTCGACATTCCTCCAGTCGTGCTAATCGCTGTTGATATTTCAGTAGCATCTGAAATTTCTCAAATGTAATTGCAAATATTTTTGAAAAGATGAATATTTTTTCTTCAAGCGAATGATTTAAGACCTTTGTCTGTTCCTTAATTCTCCTAAATTTTTCAAAAAATTTTTTTGCTGAGCGGTCGTTACAAAAAATATTCTCGATTTATTTTTGTGAACTTTATTTTTCATTTCTGATTATAATTCAGGTAAGTCTTCTTAAACTTTTAATTTTTTTTTGCCACAAATGATTAAAATAAAATAAATTAAAATAAATCAATTAAATTAAATAAATTATAAATCAAATCAATTAAATTATGTAAATAATATATATATATATTTTATAATAATATATATATATATAATAATATATATATTTTACAAATATATACATATATATAAATTTATTTTTTAAATTTAATTGCCTTTTTATTTTTTTATTTTTTAAAAATTTCATTGTCTATTTTATTATTTTCTTTAAATTAATTTTTTTTTTTTAGCGGGAGTAAACCTGCCATTTGTCAAAAATCCGGGTGGCTGCTGAGGACCCACTTGTATCTCTATCCCCAAATGACTCTGTGGCGAAGGAGTCAGATATTTTTGATACTCCCAACGCTCATGACACTCCCAGTCCGGTGGTAGATGCGATAAGTGCACAATCCGGAGAACGCTTATGGACGTTGCAAGCCAAGCGATCACTGTTCACACCCTTTCTAAATATCGTGTGGATATCGCTTGCTTGTTGAAGGTCCGTCTTACTTATTCGAGTCTCGTGTGATTATTAATCCTTGGCTTGGAGCAGAGGTACTGGCTATATCACCGTGGCGCTTCGGATAACTTGGGGCGAAATGGCATAGCGATTGTCATGTCTGACAAAGCCTATTCCGCTTTATGCCCGTTTTAAGGGTAAGTTCTGCATTATTTCGGTCATCAGCGTTTATGCTCCAACTTTATGCGCAGATGACCGTGGTAAAGATAAGACTAAGTTCTATGCGGAACTTCAACTGCTAGCAAAGTCTCTACCAAAACATGACATGGTTATAGTCGGGGAAGACAGCGTACGAGATAAAGCCGCTGCGATGACCTCTACAATTGGCAAATGTGGCATCGGAGACCGGTGCGCCAATGGGGAACGCCTTCTTCGTTATGGCGAAGAGCGCGAACTTTTTGTTATTAATATTTGCTTCCGGCATCATAGAAAACATCTAATCACGTGGAATTCTTCGGATAACTAGCACTTCAACCAGATTATATCTTAGTCAGTGGCCGTCGGAAGAATTTCGTACTAGATATATTCCGTACTAGTCGTTACTACCGCGGCGGTGAAACGGACAATCTTCATGGATCTGACCATGTTATGGTTCGAGCCAAGATCCGCATAAAACTGACAACTCGCAGAAAACAGCATCCCTCAAGATCCTTCAACTATCTCAAACTAAAAAATTCGGTAGTAGTGAGCGCATTTTGAACTGAATTATTGAAGCATCTCAATAATACAAATATCAATGATTTTCCTGGAACGGCAAATGAATATTGGTCCAAACAAAAAGGAATGACTCTCTGAAAGTCAGCCACTTCCACGTTAGGGCATACTAATAGAAAGTGTGTTAGTTGGGTGTGTGCAACTGTCCAACTATCTGAAGAAGCTCGAATGTCAGGTAATCCTTACTACCGGGTGTTTCGAAAATTTGCAACGAAAACAGCTAGATGGGATAGAAATCACTATTGGAGTGACATGGCCTTGAAAATGGAGTTGGCGGCTTGATTAGGCGTTGATAGGAAATTATTCCGCCTTCTTCATAAAGCAATTATGACTCGGGGAACGATCAGTGAAATGGTAATGGCGTTCCAGTCGAGAGTATTGGGGACCGCCTCATAAGATGGAAAGAATTCTTTGAAACCAAACTTAATCATGAAGCGCCATCTGTTGTCCCTGATATAACTGATACGTTTATTGAACTATATGCGTGCAAATGCGGGTCCTCGACAGAAGAAGAAATACTATCTGTTATCCATAAGTTTAAGACCAACAAGGCTTCGGGAGAAGTTGATCTTTGGTCTGAATTCTTTAAATGTTGTCCATCGTATTTCATAACACATCTTCAACAAATGTACACTTTAGTATGGAAAAAAGAAATATTACCAGATGATTGAAGCAAAGCAATTCTGTTCCCAATTCTCAAGAAAGGTGATAAGACATACTGCGACAATTATCGAGGAATCAGCCCACTAGACGTTTCAGTGAAAATTTTTGCTTCTCTTTTACTCAACAGACTTATGGAAGTATGAGGCAACAGGGGTGCCTTAATCAAGCTGGATATAGAACGGGGCGCGGTTGTACTGACCAGATATTCACGTTAAGTATGTTGAAACATCGCTTCAAATATTTGCAACTTACTGTCACGTGTTTCATCAACTTTGCGGCTGCATTTGATTTAATTGATAGAGAGCCGCTTTGGAGGGTGATGGAATGCGATGGTGTTTCAGAGAAGATCATTCGACTCATAAAGGCATTTTATGTACGTCAGCGCAGGTCTGTGTATATGGGGAACTGACAGATTCCTTCGAAATAAGAACTGGTGTCCGTCAAGACTGTGTTCTTTCCCCTACAATATTCAACTATGTGATAGACTGGGTAATGGACACCGTTTGCTGGCACTCAAGGGGTGTCCAAATCAGTCCAGAGCATCATATCACAAATCTTGAATACGCTGATAATGTAGTCCTAGTCCTTTTTGCTGACAGTTGTAACAAATGCAAGTAATGCTAAATAATGTGCCAGAAACTGCAGCAAGAATAGAACTCAGGGTTATTGTCCTCAAAACGAAAATCTTTTCGTTTTACGTTCAAAAAGCTATAAAATGCCTCTTTTTGTAAATTCATTGCCGGTCGAGGAAATGCCCGATTTTAAATACCTTGGGTCAACTCTAATACCAAATGGCCAGGAAAAAGACGATATTATAGCCCGGATCACGGCAGCTAGAAATGCATCCGGTTGACGAAACCTTTATGCAGTCGTCGTGAAATTACCATTAAAACAAAAGTCAGCATTTATATAGCCGTGATTCGTTCGATCTTGCTATATGGCTCTGAGACATGGCCAGTGAGAGTGGAGGATATTAAGAAACCCTTATCTACCTTTATTACCTTTGACCACTCTTGCCTAAGGTACATTTTACGAGTGCGTCGAGCGGATAAATATGATCGCCCCATCTTCGTTCAAATACCACTTGCATTAATAATTTTATTAAAGAGCGTTGCCTTCGACGGTTAGAGTACGTTCTCCGTCGTCCACCACAAAAGTTGTCGCATATACTTGTTTAACCGTATAACGAATGGCATCGAGGTGGACCAATCAAGACTTGGACTGATACAACCAGAAAAAATTTTGAATAATATATAGGTGGACCAGCAATGTATGGAATTAAACGATGAAAAAAGGAATGGTTTCTATTTCTATTACTGTCGAGGATGGCATCAGACCGCGCCGTTTAGAAGCGTCTTACCCTTGTAACCGTTGGAGCCAGCCTAATTAGTAATGATGAAAGCTGTTAGAAGAAGAATAATTATTATTCCTATTATTATTTCCGAACAATCCATTAATAATCAAATATCTTACTTCTTTTGCCTTTAGTTAGTACTTGTGAGGGTGGTAAAAAATAAACTGATTGTTCTTCGGATCCTCCGCCACTTTGTGCATTATAATATTTTGACGACATTGTACAAAAATTCCAAAAAACAACCAACCACTCGTTAGTTTATTAAATTTTTACAATGCTTTTAAATTTTAATTTTTTTAGTATTCAAAAATCGCATTTGAAAATTTCTGTTTTTTTCAAAAAAGCACCTTAAATTTTGAAGAAAATCTTTTTTTCATTATGTAACAAAAAAATTTCACAATTCGGTATTATGGTTTTTTTCTTATAAAGGAAAGTAGAATGTCTCAGTGGGTTGCCGATACTCCAATGAGAGTAAATCTGTTCAGAAACCCGGGTGACGACTCACCTGTGCCTTTTTATTTTATTTTGGAGCATTTTAAAAGTTTTCATTATAATTAATTCTTTTTCTTTTTCTTACACCTCAATACGCAATATTACTGGTATTACTGGTTGTACTGGTTCTACTGATGAGAAAATTAGATGTTTTTGTCGGGAATAGAAATTTAGATGCCGTCGAAACTACTCGGATTTCCTTTCTAATGGCTGTTTTATTCCTATCAAGGGGCAAGAATCAAAGCTATGATTTTTAGCCTTGGTAACCAACATACAACTTCTCTCTTACCATAATTAATTAAGGCTAATTTTTCTAGTGCGCTCACTATTTCCGGTTAGCCTGCTGGTCGGATCGAAATTTAGCCGGAAGTCACATGGTGATCGCCAACACCACGGGGATTTCTGAAAGGCAGGCTTAACCCTATTGGAAGTGGAATCCCAGCATACGAGCTGAGAGAAAGAGTAACACATAGTCATTCTTCCTCTAATTAAAGCATTAATTTGGCTTTATTTATTTATTGATGACCAACCAAGCAGGGCGACAAGGCTATGTGCTTGTATTAATAATAACAATTAAGATAACAAAAAAAGAAAACACAAAACAAAAAAAATATATATATAACATAAACAAAATTAATTATAAAACAATATGACAGAAATTAACAATTTAAAGAGGAAATTACAGATCAATATAATATAGTACAATTCGAAGTAACATATATAACCTGAAGATAAGAGATTTCTCACTTCCTGCAGTTCTTGCCTGGTGTAAACTCTTCTCTTTTTTTTTGTTATTAAATAATATCGTAAATGATATTATCTAGTCTTTTTTTAAAGACAGCTAGGGATGACGCACAAGCTACATCGTTCGGTAATTTGTTCCAGTAGTTAATAGTACGAATAAAGAAGTCATGGGTCCTTAGTTTCGTTTTGCATATAGGTTTTAGTAATTTTAAGCCATTAGTTCTTGTTGGATTCAAGAATTTATGTTGGATTTATTTGAATTAATATTAGTTGATTATTTATATCTATTAGTCTATTATAGTCGATTATATCTATTAGTTGATTATTTATTAAAATATAATGATAAGAGCATTATTTATTAAAATATAATGATAAGAGCTATGAAAATTTTCGAATTCAATCAGCTTTACAATAGAATAATTAAAGATTTTTAATTGCTTTAAGAATTATTTAATTTGTTTGCTTATTTGGAACTTTTTCAAGATTTGTTTCAAGAAATAAATATTATTATTGAAGAGATTATGTTTCTCGACGAAATTTGTAATTAAAAGTGAAATACAACTTGTGATAAGCATCGTGGATTTGATCCCTCAGTCTTGGTTGAAGTAAACCTTATCACTAGAAGAGAAATCAAAATAGACTTGTCATCCATCTAAATATAAGTTTTTTCAAAATCTTTAAAATACTTTTTGTATTGAGTAGCAGCTTGCAATTCGTTAAAATTCGAATCGATGAGGCGAACTTTTTTCAGTTCATATATCTCACTTGAAGCTCGAGCAGATGCGATTTCGTAAAAAAAATTGATTAATTGAAAATGCTTTTTGCGAAAGCAAATAAGTGATTCAATTAAAAGAGAAGTTATTTTTTTTCGATTTATAATTTATATTATTTTGGATTTATTCTTAGAAAAGTTTGCACTTTCAAAAAAAAAATTCTCATGATAAAGAAAAAGGTAAATTCGACCAATCGAACGTCTCAGCGATTCCAGTTCGACGAATTATGGACAAAAAAGAATTCATACAACATAAATTATATGAAATTAAAAAATGAAGAAATGAAGGAAAGTCCACTTAAATCTATAAGTAAATTGTTTAAAAAAATTCAACAAACTAAAAAGTCTTATCAGACTTTTTGCTAAAATACTAAATTTTAATATTGATTTCGTCTCCTAAATCACGGAGAGGGTGCGTAGAAGTTAGAAGCACCTTAAAAATACCAAATGGAGTCCGCAGGAAATTATGGATAGCCTTTCTTCAATGCACAGATTTCATTTTTAAAAAGAGGAGTTAATGAAAGGAATTTTAAATAATTTCTATGAATAGCAAAAGTAATTATAACAATAAAGAAGCAATAATTCTCTTAAAATTTTAGGAAATAAATATCGCATTGATAATTTATTTGTTAACAACCAGGTGATGGCATATGAAGCAATCAAATTAGTGATAATTAGTGATAATAAAAATAAAAATATTAGATACAATGAAAATAAAAAGACAAAACAAGCTTTATTACTTTATTACACTATTGTTCTATTGTGAAAGTGGAAATCAAGCTTCTTGTCCATAACTGTACCGAAATTTGTAGAACTTTTCTTCAGAAACACTGAAAACCTATAGAAATCTATGGAAATTAACACGTTTTAGAAGATTATTAATCAATGGAATAATATACATATATATAATTAATGGAATAATATGGAATAATAATAAACAAAAATGAAAATGATCATTTCAAGAATTACGAGCGATTGTTCCAAGAAATTATTCCTGATTTATTTCGAATTATTTCTCAATTTCCAGGTTAAGATCTTATTGTTCAACATTATTCTTTCGTTAATTCAGCTAATTTCTTTTTAAATTTTTTAAAAGAATTTTAGAACAAAAAATTAATAAATCTTTCTTTTTATTTTTTTAAATTGTCTTTAAATTTCTATTTTTAAATTTAATTTGATTATCTTTATTCTCTATTTTTGACAGGATTAAACCTGTCATGATGTCAAATTCGGGTGCACACTCTCTGTATCTCTATTCCCAAATGATTCTATGGTGAAAAGGTCAGGTCTCTTTAACGCGACGTTTCCGATGCGCATGCTGCTCCTGACAGGGTGGTACATGCGACAAATATACGACCCGGGCGTAATAATAATAATTAATAATAATAATAAAAATAATAATTAATAATAATAATTAGTAACAATAATAATATTTAATAATAATAGTAATAATAAAAATAATAATAAATAATAATAATGATAATAATAATAAAAATCCAAGCTAAAACTGGTGACCGCCATAGACCAATCCTTTTTGCTGACAGTTATAAGGAAATGCAAATATTATTAAACAAAGTATCAACAACGTGAATTGGACTCAAAATCAATGTAAATAAAATTATTTTTGTTTTAGATACAAAATGCTAATAAAATACCTATTTTCATCAATTCATTGCCGGTTGAGGAAGTGCTTAACTCTCGAATTCACTCTAATCCAAAATGGCCAGGCAAAGGATGAAACCCAGGCAGCTAGAAATGAGTTTTCCCCGCTGATGAAACCTCTATAGAACCATCGCGAAATCATCATGAAGACGAAAATCCCCGTCCATATAGCTGCAATTCGCTCGATCTCACTATATGGCTGCGAAACATGGCCAATGAGAGTGAAGGATATTAAGAAGCTCTTAGCCTTTGACCACTCATGTCTAAGATATATTTTGCGGGTCCATCGAGCTGATAAGATATCACATGATCGCATCCATCTTCGTTCAAATACCACTTGCATAAATAATGTTATCACAGAGCGTGGCCTTCACTGGTTAAGGCACGTTCTTCGTCGTCCACCACAGGAGCTGATACATATTTCGTTATTTGCTAAACCGTATGATGTGTCAAAAGTGAGATGGACCAATCAAAACTTGGACTGATACGATCAGAAAAGATTTTAAACGTATAGGTGGATCGCAATATATGGACTTAGACGATGGAAAAGAGAATGGCTTCTATTATTGCTAACGATGGCGCCGGACCGAGCAGCTTGGAGACATTTCACTCTTATACCCAGCGGAGCCAGCCTAACCAGTAATGATGAGAGCTATTAGAAGAAGAAATTTTGTTCCATCTTCACCTATTATTCTGTATTATTGGTTAAATTCACTCCGCTGGCTTGTTGCACTGGATAAATATTCCAGGAAATCCCTTGGTGGCATAAGCACGGGTGAGTCCTGAGCACACCCGAATCATCTGGGTTTTCGGATTCCCCCTGCTGGGAACAAAACCTCAGCATCGATACTTTGCAACAAACCATTCTATCCCCTTTTAATTTTTTTTTTTTTTTACCACGGTTTTTCAATAAAGACATAGCATGTTTTATTTACTAAAAATCCTTCGATATTAAAAGATGCAAAAAGGCTGATTAATTATCTAATTAATTAATTATAAAATTATCGGTTCTGACCAGTTCGTGTTATACCTCTGCTTAAATTTACTTTATTTCGAATAGATTTCATAAATATGACAGAAACGATTGGATTGAGTGAGAAACTTGAGCAAATAGCTCCATTAGTAATAAGCCAAAATAATCGAGGAAACGGCAGATCGATGTCTGAAAATTCTCTTGATTATCAGTGTCAGAAACAGTGATCAGAATGCAAAAAGATTTCTTAGTACGTAAGTAAGCGGTGAGCATTATTTTATCGCATTATTTTAAATGGACTCGCTGTTTTGGCTGTTATTGGTTGAAGTTTTTGCAATGAAATCTTAGTGATAAAAGCACAAACAAGTCGTTGTCACCAATCGGATTTTTAATGACAAATTTTTTGACTCAAGGAAGAATAAAAAAGAAATTTTTTGTTATCCCCGCACTTTTCCATTTATGAGGCAAATGAATTCAAGAAAACTTTCCTATCAAAGGCCAATAAATCAGAAAATATAGGCCGATAGGAATGGTACATAACTTTTATTATTTTATTGAAACTTACTAGTAAAATAACAAATTTCTGACAAAGTTTGCGGCAACACAAACAGTAATAAGATTGATGTTTGTAGAAGAAGAGAACGGATCACATAAATGGTTTCTTTTGAAATTCGTACTTGAGCCACCGAAGATACTGAAATATACATATATATAGGGCCTGCCACCATGATATATTAATATTGTTGTGAACACAGAGACTAGCTATAAGTACTTTGATATTCCACAGTCATATGGCAATCACGATGAGGCAAGGAAGATTGCAACATCTAAGTATCACCGAAGGATTAATTTTGAAGAGCAAGTTCAACGGGAGGAATAAAATCCATGCTAAAAAATGTCTTACCAGTCATCAGCCTGGCACTGTAAGATGGATAAAGGATTGTTGAGGATGCATGAAAATTTCCATCCTAAATCCAAAATCCAAAGGCTGTACACCAGCCGGAAAGAAGGCGAGTGGGGTGTGATGAGCGTGAGAGCCGATCGATATACGAAGCATGCAAAAATATATCAGATCAGCAAGATGGCACCAAAGGATAAGCTGCTGAGAGAATGTATGAAATATTTACATATACTGGAAAAAGATCAAATCGAGGAAGCAGGATTCTCTGTGGATTGCACCATCGACAGCTGAGATAACTGACATTTTCAAATCTTAATAGAAAACCGAACTAAACGGCAAACCTGAGGCATTGATTAAGTAGCAAAGGAACAAGTACCAAACACCAGACCCATCGAAGTAGAGATTTATTATACTTGACAGGAGTGTAGATACTGTGCAAAAATGCCTCAGAAATAGTCCAACACATGTTGGCAAAAGCAAGAACATAGAAAGGTATAAATAAGTAGCTGGTGTCATCTGCAGGAACGTCTGTTCGATATATGCTTAGACCCTCCTAAGAATAAGAATAAATAAGAGATTCCAAGATTCAAGAATTCAAGATTCAAGATTCAATGAGAGATTCAAGAAATGGTGGAAAATAATAGAGTGAAGATCCTGCTTCATCCAAACTTCTTTATCCAAACGGAATACTTATAAAGAAATACTGGTCAATCAATCAGTGATAATAGATAAAGATCACAAATCAACACTGGTGATAGATGCAGCAGTAATAAATGACAGGATCGTTTGGAAGAAATATTAGAGGTTGGAGAAATATCGAGTGAAAGAGGAACTGGAGAAAATGTGGGAAATGTAAGCCAAAGTAATTCTAATGAACACTTGAAACTGTGACCCTTAAATTAAAAAAGTGACAGATTCCAGGAACAACATCAGAAATATTTACCCAGAAGAGCGCACTATTAGGGAATAGCTAAGAGGTGCAGAATTCTCAATTTCTTAGGCCTATGTAGAGAACCGAGAAGGAAGAGGAATATATATGTACAGTTTCCCAATAATGACTTTTAAGCATCTTTTGTAGATGTGCCTAGATGATAAGGTAATCTCGGTACCTTTATAATGTTGTTGCTTGTAAATATAATATATTAAATTAATATTAATAAGCATTGCAAGCATTATCGATGCAACAATAATAAATCCAAGAGCAGCTGACCAATATTTGCTCGTGCTAAGAGTTGGCCCGCATATATCTTCATCATTTATTATTCCAGAAGTAATTTGCAACGTGCTCCATATAACGTGCTAAAAACCTTTTAGATTGCTGTTCATTTCTATACTTACATCTTTTGCAATGCATTCTTCAAAAATAACCAAGAATCTACCAGCACCAGCATGTACATCAGAATGAAGTTTTTTATCACTCATGCAATTTTCATCACCCGACTATAATGGATTTTGTCAGTTAGTACGTTAGAGTTTGGACTTTATTAGAATTTTATTCCTTTTTTCATTATTTAATTTGCCGAAACTCTAGGATACTTTAACATTCAATTTCCCTTACTCAAGATTTAGTTTCGTAATTTAATAATTTAAGCACAAATTTTTTCCACCACTGTAACTGAGTCTTAACTCGTAAATTTCGATAGTGTCACAATGAAATTGCCTAAATAAATAAATGTCGTGAGAGGTATGAGGATCAGGCAAATCTTTTGACAGTAGTATACTCAAATATAATCTTACTCAGGAGCCATTTGTATTTCTATCTCCTCTTAAGAAAAATGTAGTGCACGGAATAGGTACAAGAGAAAGAAGTATATGCATCCCATAAAAAATGCAGTTAATTCCAATTCGTTTGATTTATAAATTTAATCAATTAGCTTGTTTAATTTTTAGTTTGATTTAATTTCATTTCTCATTTAAAAAATTTTCCTTAGAAACTTATAAATAAAAATAAAAATACTTATAAAAATACTCATAAAAATAAAATACCAATGCAATTATCGGAAAAACAAAGGCGGCCACCATGATTTTTCGTGAAATGTGTCGTCGCCAAATTACTGTCGCATAGCGATCAACCGCAACCACCTGTAGATCTGGTTAAAATTATTTAACTGCATTATCATAGAACAGTCAGAAGAATAAGTAAGTTTCATTAGAAATCTAAGAAATATTCCATCTAAGTAATTATAATTATAATTATTAAAAAATTTACAAAAATTCCAAGATTAGGAGCGTATAGAGTCATGCCGAATATTCGTCTCAATAAGCTACAAGAAAATATAGTATGTGGAATTTTAAAGCATAGTGAAATTAAATAGAATAAATCCAATGACGTTATACCAATTGCAGCATACAGATAACAAGCGACCATTTCAATAAGTAACAACTAAAAACTTCAATATTTTAAAAGTTAGATGAGGTAGTTCAGAAACAAGTTATCGAAAATCGAAACTTAAGTTCGACGACAAGGAAGGAGAGAGCAAAAGGAGGTAGAATGGCTCAATGGATTGCTCAATTCGGAGTGCCGATGCTGAGGTTTCGTTTCCGATAGGATTAAATTTGTCCTTCAAAAATCATTCCGGCGACTCAAACTTCTATCGCCATGTATATTTCTCTAGTTCGACAAGCCAGATGAGCGAGTCCAACCAACAATCGTGAGTGTTTTCAAAAAAAAAGCAGTGAGGATGACAATAGAAACGGATATAAACCATATTTTAAAACTTTCTTCATCATCGACTCTCATTATCCCCACTTGCTTATTATTTTTCTAGATTAGTTTAAATACTTTCAAAAAGGCCTTTATAATTTAAGATTATAAAGGTCTTTATAATCTTTATAATTATAATATTGAAACTCTGTTTACAAAATTTCTTGAAAAAAAAACCTTTGAAGAGCCCTTGATTTGCCCGTGATTTTTGCAAATTAAATATAAAATATAGATGTTAATCGGAATAGCTAGTGAAGCAAAACATATATTTATAAGCGCATCAGGCAGATAACTTGGTAAAACATAGATGATTATGGAATACATTTTCTGAAAAATTAAATTTTAATGAACGATAAATTTATGACGATAATTTGCATTTTTCTTTCTTTCGAAATCTTAATTATTTAATTTAAATGACATTTTAAAAGCAAAGGCCATGCTTGTGGATTCGACAAGTAATTTCTGCCATTTTCTTTTTCATAAGTATTTTTATAATTATGATAACTGATGATAAAATTTAAATGAACTGCAAATAAATGAAAATATGGCTGAGAGTATATTGATTGACCAGTTCAAATTCAAATATACTGTCTGAAACGTGTCTCTAAAAGTGAAATTCAGGCTATACTAATAATCCACCCGTATTTCCATCACCAAATAAAATGGCTTAATAGACGATGGAGAAAGCATTTCCATTGACGAAAGAGGAAAAGAAAATAAATAATAGTGATTAAAAGGAAATAATGATTTATAAAGTTTATTAGCTTGGCAAACATGGGGAAATCCAATTTTTTACTCTATATGACGAAGTGATTACAGATTATCGTCTTGAGTATAAGTGGTTTGGATTTTATTGGTTTCAAACCTCCAAAGGAATAAAACTATTATTGAAGAAACCTGTTAGCATTATTGGGTTATTGGGTTACGTGTTCTTATGCTGACAAATGTTTCCTTAGTAACCTCTCACCGCACTAACAGACAAGTTTAACCAGAAATGGTGAGTACTAATCATTTACTTATAGTTTATTTATGAAGTTTTAATAAAAGAAAGATCGAAAATTAAATCAGGCATTTTTCGTGCATTATTCAGTAAATACTACTAATACTAATTACTTTTATAGTTATTAATTTAATAATAATTTCATTTCTCCCTATGTAATTTTATCGAAAAATTAGAATAAAGAGAAATACAAAATAAATAATTAGTTATTCAAGCTGATTTGTCGCTTGAATGATCAACTGACTTTTCAATGTTACGAGATCTTAACAAAAAATTTTAAACTAAGGAAATAAGGTAAATTATAGTCCTTTGCGAAATTTCACTAAATATATAAAATATTTCGAACTTTATAAATTTAATGCAATCTTTATGCAGCTTAAGAAAACTAAGAAACTAAGAAAACTTAAGTTTTAAATTGAATATAAATTTTCAAAATTTATATTCAAAAATAATAAAATTAAATTGAAAGACTTTGGAATACTTTGAAATTTTTTATGCAGTTGTTCAAATTCAAATTTTGAAATCATTTGTTGGTATGATATCAAAATTATTTTTAATTACAAATAATTAAGGCAAATGGATTATGAAATAAAACGAAAAAATAAAATGGAATTGTAAATGCTTAAATTGATAAATGGTTGGCTCATTTCTTATTAGATTCAGGTTAGATTACTGGTTGTGAATTTGATGAGAATTATCAGGGATCCATTTGACGATAGAAATGCAATCTGCAATCTGTTAACATTTAATTTATGAAGCGATTTACGGCATTTAAAAAAGGATCATTTGTTCACAACATCTAAATGATTTACTGAAGGAATCGCCAATGATTTATGGAATCATAAAGAATAAAGCTATTATTTCACGGAAAACTGATGCACAACTTCTTCTTCTAACAGCTCTCAAGGCTAAGACGTCTTCAAGCTGTTCAGTCCGACGCCATCACTAGTAGTAATTGAAGTCATTCTTTTTTCTACCATCTAAGTCCATATATCGATGGTACACCTATAGGTTCAAAATCTTTTCTCTATCGATCGAGGTTTTGATTGGTTTTCCTCGCATATAGCGAAATATGCGTCAACTCCTGTGGTTCACAACGGAGAAAGTGTCTTAATCAGCGAAGACGACGTTCTATGATAACATTATTAATACAGATGTTATTTGAACAACGATGGATACGTGCGATTTTATCCTCAGAGATCAAATTGCTCAGTGGGTTTGTTGCTTAGTTCGGAGGGCCGGTGCTGAAGTTTTACTCCCCACAAAAATAAAAATCTCGATGATGCTGGCGACTCATCTATACTTCCATCGCCAAGGGACTCCCTGGCATATTTGTCCAGTGTGATAAGCAAGCGAATGAGTCAGAATGGGGGCTCTTAAAAAAAATCTTAGACATGAGTGGTCAAAGGCTAAGAGCTTCTTAATATCCTTCACTCTCATTGGCCATGTTTCGCAGCCATATAGTGAGATCGAGCGAATTGCAGCTATATGGACGGGGATTTTCGTCTTCATGATGATTTCGCGGCGGTTCTATAGAAGTTTCATCAGCGGGGAAAACTCATTTCTAGCTGCCTGGGTTTCATCCTTTGCCTGGCCATTTTGGATTAGAGTGAATTCGAGAGTTAAGCACTTCCTCAACCGGCAATGAATTGATGAAAATAGGTATTTTATTATTTAATTATTTTATTTAATTATTTTATTTTATTGTATCTAAAACAAAAACAATTTTATTTAAATTGATTTTGAGTCCAATTCTCGTTGTTGATACATTGTTTAATAATATAATATATTTTCTTATAACTGTCAGCAAAAAGGACTGGTCTATGGCGGTCACCAGTTTCAGCATTCGATAGGAACGACTATCAAGTACAGAAGTCTTCCAGAGATGACTGACCAATAAATTAGTCAATGTAATTGGAATATTGGTCGGAGAGTTCCACGAGACTAAATATTTTCTCTGATGCCGAAAGCTTGCATTAGTAGCGAAGAGTTCATGCTCTTCGCAAAACGAAGAAGGTCTCCATTGGCGCACTGGTCTGCCATATTTGCTAATTACTGAATTCATTGTAGCGGCATCATGATCTAATCGCGCATTCCAGTCTCCTCCAATTATGACCATGTCAACTCTCGGTAGAGATAGTTAACATTTGAAATTCAGCATAGAACTTATCCTTATCGCGGTCATCTGCGAGAGCTGACATGAAGAAAACGGACCACTGACAAATAAGCCACATCCACGCTGTATTTAGAGAGGGTGTGGAGAGAGTGATCGCTTGGTTTGCAACATCCATAAGCGCAACTATAGCTGGCATCTCACCACGCTCACAAAGTGTTAACGAAAAGATTCTTTCCTCCTTGACGGGTTTTGAGCACTTATCTTGATTCGCGAGCAAATTCTATGCTTTTGTTTGGATTTTTATTATTATTATCAATATTATTATTTATTATTATTAATTATTGTTATCATTATTATTTATTATTATTGATTATTATTATTAATTATCATTATTTTTATCATTATTATTAAATAATATTATTGTTATTAATTATTGTTAATTATTTTTATTATTATCAATTATTACTATTAATCATTATTATTGATTATTATTAATTATTATTATTAATTATTATCATTATATTATTATATTATAATTATAATTATTATCATTACTATTATTAATTATTATTTTTAAATTAGATTTTAATTTTAATTTTCATTGATTAGATATTATGGACTGGTATTCGCCTGCCACGACTTGCAAATAATAATTTCAAATAGTTCCATAAAATTAAACCAAAAATTAAATTATGAAATGAAATGAAAAAAATGAAAAATTAAGTTATGAAATGATCTTATAAGATTAAAAGGCACGAAAAGGATAAAAGATAAATTATTTATGCCATAAAAAAAAGGAAATTTAATTAGCGAATAATAATCTATTAAAAAATAATATGAGAAAATAGAAAAAATTAAAATTTGAAAATATTTGGGGCCACTCGATTTGCAATAACATTTTATTTTATTAAAATATAAGATTTTCAAGATAAAAAATAAGTTTTAAAGGGGCTCATACACAGGGTGCAAAAAAAACTATGAGATGAATTGCTGCAAATTAAGAGAGGGAGTAATTTTAAAAATTTCAGATAAGCGCTAAGGCGTCGACTAATCATCAAGAAGAATTACTTCGCGATATTTTGCTATATGAGCGAAAAATTTCGATTTTTGTGATTCCTATTGTTTTTAGTATTATGCATCTTTCATATTTTTTTAAATGCAAATTCTTATGATTAAGAAGAGTTAATATGCTTATGGCTGCTGTATTACAGTTACACTAAATCTCGAATTATTTTTTGTTCTCTTTGCTATGAAACCTTTTCATAAATACGACAATTTCTACTGAACTGAGAGAAAAACTGAAGTAATGAGTGGCCACGTTAATCATGAATGGAGAGGAAGGGGAGAATGGAATGATCTGTGGCTAAATGTTATTTCCTCAAATTTTTAATTACAAGACTTTTAATGCAAAAACATGGAAAAATCGTGCGAAACCCTCAAAGAAAATTAGAAAAAATCTAGGAAAACTAGAAAAATGATTGTGATTTGGAAACGAAGAAAAAAATTTATTCGAACTATTATCAAAAAAATTTGAGGGAATTCCACGAGAATTTGGGCACGCTATTCGGAAAGTTCGTGCTACCAAGAAAAATTCGAAGGTGATATGCCTTATAAAATGTAATATATAAAATGTATATGCATATTCATATACATTTCGATAAAATGTACATACACATGCATTTTTCTACAACTTTTTGATGCCATTTGTCTTGAAGATTTTGTCCTTACAAATAGGTTTGTCGATGCATAGCTGATTAAAATAATCTCTCATAGCCTTTCATACCATTCAAATCAATAGAGCTTATGAAAGTGAAATTTACAATGGTTGCTGCGAGTGGTAATCTGAAAATTCTATGTATGATAAGTATGACATATAAGCATATTCAATTCAATTACATTCTAATAATTTTCGCTCTGTGGTTATTGAGACATTGTCTTAAAGGAATATTACTCTCTTGCCATTTTTATTATTATATCCAAGTGGTTGTACTGGATATCGGGAGTTATATGAAACTGCCATCATAGGTTGGAATACACAAAATATTTCGCTCTTTAACTTTTGGTTCTGAATTATTTTGATTTCTTAGGAATCATATAAAAATAAGAAAAGATATAATAAAATGACATGCAAATTAATAAATTAATGGATTAAAGCTACAAATAAATTTTAAGGGCCAGTGATATTACGCAGATAGTCGGCGTCCTTGT